GAGAGAATGAGAGAGAGCAAGTACATGAGAGGGGGGAGGGTCAGGGAGAAGCAGACTCCCTCCCGAGCAGGGAGCCCGATGCGGGACTCGATCCAGGGACTCCAGGATCATGACCTGAGCCGAAGGCAGTCGCCCAACCAACTGAGCCACCCAGGCGCCCAGCCCCTCCCATCTTTTTATCTGGATTCTACTTCTAGCTCCATTTTGTGATCTTGGGCATGTCATCCTCTCTGGACTGTTTCCTACTCTGTAAAAAGATGACATTGCCTGCTTCTTTAATTTTATAGGATTGTATTAGGATCATGGATGTGAAGATGCTGTCTAAACTCTAATGTGCCATCTTAGGAAAGGTAATATTATTGAGGCTTTCTGAGCTATTATTCCCAAGAACTGTGTCTATAATAAAGCCTCTTAATACCCTGAGCTGTGGACATGTGTCAGTCACCTAGAAGATTCATTTTTATGAATTCATTTTATGGATCTTTACTGATAATATGCTCTTTGCCAAGCATTATGTCAAATATAAAAATGACTTCAAGGCGCCTGGGTGGCTCAGTCGTTAAGCGTCTGCCTTTGGCTCAGGTCATGATCCCAGGGTCCTGGGATCGAGTCCCACATCAGGTTCCCTCCTCGGTGGGAGGCCTGCTCTCCCTCTCCCACTCCCGCTGCTTGTGTTCCTGCTCTCGCTATCTCTGTCTCTGTCAAATAAATAAATAAAATCTTTAAAAAAAAAAAAAAAGGACTTCATTTTCAAAAATGAATACAAAAATAAATAATTTCTAACCTTAGAAAGCACACACCCCAATAAGGGAGATTTTATTTATTTATTTGAAAGAGAATGCGAGCAGGAGGAGAGGGAGAAGACCCCAAGCAGACTCTGTGCTGAGTGTAGAGCCCGACGCAGGGCCCCATCCCAGGACCCTGAGACCGGAGCCAAAATCAAGAGTCAGATGCTTAACCGACCGAGCCACTCAGGCACCTCAACATCTATGTTTTAATGGGTTATCCAGGTGATGGCTGCAGGCTGAAGTTTGAGGACCACTGTGCTTTGGGAACAGAAGGAAGGAGTGATCACACTCTATTGTAATTCTTGTATAATTATCTTCTTTACTAGACTGCAAGGGTAGGGAAGCATGTTTAAGCTTGTTTTCTGTCCTCAGCATTTAACACAATGTCTGGTACCAAGTTGGAATTCCATAAACATTTAGTGATTAAATGATCAGTTAGATGTTTATTTCTGTAGTCAGGTATAAGATGATAAGGACCATAATTAGAGCTGTGGCCATAGGAAAGGAGAGAAGAAAGAGATCTGAGGTTATAGAATTCTTGGGTCATAGAATTTATAGGATACGGTAAGTGTGGATGTGGGAAGTAAAAGAGAAGGCCTAGTCCAGGAACATGCTGAGATTTTTAGCTTGAGTAATTGCTGATGTCATTAATAGTATAGAAGAGGAAAAATAGATTTTAGGAGGAGACAGTAACTTCGGTCTTTGTAGGGTTTTTTGTGTGTTTTTTAAATGTACAGAACTTTATTACTCAAAAATGCGAACCATCATCTGAGCTTTCAGTGAGTCATAGTCACTGACCACAGATCATGGTCTTTATAGGTTTTGAAGCAATTGGAAATAACAGTCTAGCTCTAAGGTAAGATTGGGACTAGAGATAAAAAGATTCAGGAGTCAGCAGTATCTGTGTCAGTTCTCAGGTGGGGCTCTATATTAGAATTACCTGGGAGTTTTTTAAAACATTTCTAGTGCATAATTCCATGCTAGACCACTTAAATCAGAATCTTTGAGGAAAGGGGCCCAGGAATCAGTACTTTTTTTTTTTTTTCCTTAACATTTAATTATTTGAGAGAGAGTGTATGAGCGCGAGCCCGTGAGGTCTGCGCAAGTCAGGGGAGGCGCAGAGGAAAGAATCTCCAAGCCGACTCCCGCTGAGCGTGGAGCCTCCTGCGGGGCTTGCTCCCAAGACCCTGAGATCATGATCCAAGCTGAAACCAAGAGTCAACTGCTCAACCAACTGAGCCATCCAGGCGCCGCAGGAATCAGTACTTTTTAAAAACCTTTCAGGGGATAATTCCATTGTGCATTAGTGTTGAGGCTCACTGGTAAAGATTAAGGAAGTCATGTAGAACCAGAAAGAAGGAGGTTTTTAGTCAGAATCTGGAGGGGGGATACCAACATTTAAGAGTAAATTAAGGAAAGGGGGGAATCGGAGGGGGAGACGAACCATGAGAGACTATGGACTCTGAGAAACAAACTGAGGGTTCTAGAGGGGAGGGGGTGGGGGGATGGGTTAGCCTGGTGATGGGTATTAAAGAGGGCAGGTATTGAATGGAGCACTGGGTGTTATACGCAAACAATGAATCATGAAACACTACATCAAAAACTAATGATGTAATGTATGGTGATTAACATAACATAGTAAAATAAAAAAAATAAATAAATTTTTTTAAAAAAGTAAATTAAGGAATAAGGGTAGCAAAGGAGACCCATTGTGGGCCAGGATATGGAGTCTATTTTAGTTTTTGGTGCCTTACCTCTCTATTGTAAGATTCTAGTGTTGGATCCACATGACTTCTGGGCATGACTATGTTTCCAGTAGAACCTGAATTATCTGCTTCTCCTGCTTCTGGGAATTTGCAGTAATTCCCTTGACCCTATCTTCCTACCACTAACACCTAGACAAACTGATTTATACAAATAATGATTTTCTAGTAGCCTATAAAGCATTCTTGATATTAAACAGCAGCAGCCTGGGAGAGGATCCCATAGGACAGTGGTTCCCATGTCTATTCACATTTGTTATTTACCCAAAGCTCACATCTTTTCAAGTTCATGTTCGATCTATAGTTGTTATCTTGGACTTTGTGGTATAACATAGCAGCAAGAAATAGGGCTTCCCACTGGGCAGAAGTAGCTGGTGGTTTCTTTTATTTTGATTTTCTTTTTCCTCTATTCCCCTTCTTCTACTTTTTTTTTTTTTTTTTTGCGAGAGAGAGAATGAGAGAGAGCACGAGAGGGAGGAGGGTCAGAGGGAGAAGCAGACTCCCCGCCGAGCAGGGAGCCCGATGCGGGACTCGATCCTGGGACTCCAGGATCATGACCTGAGCTGAAGGCAGTCGCTTAACCAACTGAGCCACCCAGGCACCCCCCCTTCTTCTACTTAACCTCCTTATCTCCAACTGTGTTTGTGACTTAACTTTTTACCTGTAATGAAAGAACAGGGTGAGCAGGAGAGGGCCCATGTAAACAATGCCAGAAATGGAGGGCAGCAGCAGCAGATGCCTCTAGACCTCCTTAGGACCGACTGGTGATGGATTGAGAGGGAGCAACAAATTACAGATTGGAGCCAGAGTTCTCAGGAGCCTAGGGATTGAGTAGTTTATAAAAGAAGCTCCAGTGTCTTTGTGGAAGAACAAAGAGGTAAGTTTGAGTTAGATGTGTTATTAATCCAACAAGAGTACCTTGTGACCCAGCAATTGCACTACTAGGTATTTACCCAAAGGATACAAAATATAGGGTCAAAGGGGTACATGCACCCCTATGTTTATAGCAGCATATTCAGCAATAGCCAAACTATGGAAAGAGCCCAAACGTCCATAGACTGGTGAATGGATAAAGAAGATGTGGGGTGTGTGTGTGTTACTCAACCATCAAAAAGAGTGAAATCTTGCCATTTGCAATGATTGGATGGAGTATTATGCTAAGTGAAATAAGTCAGTCAGAGAAAGATAAATACCATATGATTTCACTCATATGTGGAATTTAAGAAGCAAAACATATGAACATATGGGAAGGGAGAAAAAAGAGAGAGAGGGAAGCAAACCATAAGAGACTTAACGATAGAGAACAAACTGAGGGTTGATGGAAGGAGGTGGGCAAGGAATGGGCTATATGATGAGCACTGGGTGTTGTATGTAAGTAATGAATCATTAAATTCTTCTGAAACCAATATTATACTATATGTTAACTAACTAGAATTTCAATAAAAATTTGAAAAGAAAAAAATATATATCCAACAAGAGGAACTGCATTGCAAGGAATTGGATGGGCAGGAAAAAACACATTGAGCTCAGTTTTATAGACCCTTAAAGAGTAATAAAACATAGTTTCTTCCTTCAGAGACTTTCAGTCTAATGAGGGAGACGTTTGTATAAATAACAGAATGAAGGAATGAAATAATCGTTAAGTAGGTATACAGTAAAATAAATTATTTCCTCTAAGAAGATATTCTTTTTAGAGAGGTGGCATCTAAGTTTGGCATCAAAAAGATGAGGAAAATTTTACTCAGAAGGTTGGCAACTGGAGGTGGGGGTGGCATTCTAGATTGAGGAAGCAGCATGAATAAAGACTTGGTATTAGAGTGTGTTCAGTAGTCAGCAAAGTAGTGTGGTACATGGGGAAAATGATGGGTGAAGCTGTTAACTTAATACTCCCATTTGTGTCATTGGTGTGATGAAGGCCTCTTCTCTCCTTGTATTAAGTAGGCCCAGGGATATCTCAGGCCTACAGACTTCCCTCTCTCACTGTGTCAGTTGTGTCAGTTAAACTGTAGGGATGGGGTAGCATTTGTCACTAAGGACCAATTAGGAAGCACCCCTAATGATTTGTTTTTCCTACTACAAATGACTCACCCCATCTGAAGATTCTGAAATGATCCCTTGGTTGAGAATCACTGCCATAGAGAGCCACTGTTCTTAAGGACTGTGTCACATCCCTCAGGTGTGCTGTGGGAGAATAAAGGTTGAAAATATGACCCTGACTATGAACTCCCCAAGACCAAGGACTGTGTCACTAATTGCTTTGTTATTTCCCACAAATTCCTATTTGGGGATTGCCTCTATAAGTAGGCAGTTAAAGCTATATAACCACCATTTCACATCATAATTTTTATAGACACCAGTTGTTTGGTCAGTTGACTTCTGGCCATCTGTGAACTTGGAAAAGAATAATAATGAGCCCAGGTTTCTAACTTCATTGCCTGCCTTTATACAGAATCCTCACCATGGATGGGCTCATCGAGGACATTAAGCGACGGCGGTACTATGAAAAGCCTTGTCGTCAACGACGACGGGAAAGCTACGAAACCTGTCGGCGGATCTACAACATGGAAATGGCTCGCAAGATCAACTTCTTGATGCGAAAGAATCGGCTGGATCCATGGCAGGGCTGCTGAGGCCTGTGGATAGTAGGCCCAGTATGAAAATCCCTATCCAGCTGTCTCCTTTCTTTCTCCAATCCCATTTTCTCTTACCTTTCTTGTAATAAATTCAATCACGTATGTGCAAGAAGGCCTGCATATATAGAAGCAATCCCATAGTCAGCAGTGGACCCTCTCTTTTATTATGTGAAGGAGAAACTAAGTCAAAAAGTAGTCTAGGAGTAGAATGGTGGTTGCCAAGGGCTGGTTGGGAGTGGGGATTTAGTGTTTAATGGGTACGGAATTTCAGTTGGGGAAGCTGAAAAAGTTCTAGGGACAGATGGTGGTGATACTTGCACAACAATGTGAATGTACTTAGTGCCACTGAACTGTACACTTGCATGGTGAAAATGGCAAATTCCATATATATTTAGCTGTAATAAAAATTTTTAAGTAGTCTAGGAGAGGTGAGGAACTTTTCTAAAATGTAGTGGAATATATCTACCATTTCCTACTCAATTCTTATGAAACCCAAAGCAAGACATTATTGGAAGAGCATCTGTTACTCTTTACTGAATTGTCCCCTCTTACCAACTGTTAGATAAAAGGACAGGAGAGGAGGCATCTACGTATTTGGAATAAATTTTGCTACTGAAACACCCATCAACCAGACTAGAGTGCTGGAATCCTTATCCAGAGGAATCCTTTTTTTTTTTTTTTTAATTTATTTTTTATTTTTTTAAAGATTCTATTTATTTATTTGACAGAGAGAGAGAGTGAGAGCAGGAACACAAGCAGGGGGAGTGGGAGAGGGAGAAGTAGGCCTCCCGCCGAGCAGGGAGCCTGATGTGGGACTCGATCCCAGGACCCTGGGATCATGACCCGAGCCGAAGGCAGACGCTTAATGCCTGAGCCACCCAGGCGCCCCAGAATCCTTTTTTTTAAAAAAAGATTTTTATTTATTTATTTGACAGAGACACAGCGAGGGAGGGAACACAAGCAGGGGGAGTGGGAGAGGGAGAAGCAGGCTTCCCGCTGAGCAGGGAGCCTGATGCGGGGCTTGATACCAGGACCCCGAGATCATGACCTGAGCTGAAGGCAGACACTTAACGACTGAGCCACCCCAGGTGCCCCTATCCAGAGGAATCCTTAAGACAAATCTAACATTCACTCCTGTTTCCTGTCTTTCCTTTAGTTTTCCTAAAGAAGGCTAATGAAGGAATAGTGGAGAAGAAATAAAGCAGTAGGTGGATGGTAGAAAAGAAGGAATGGGCGAGTATTAAGAGATACAAGGGCACAGAGCCAGAAATATCTACAGCAGTGATTCTCAAAAGTGTGGTCTTCAGATCAGCAGTATCAACATCACTCAGTTAATTGGTTGAAATGCAAATTCTAGGACCTCCTTTAGACTTTCTGAATTGGAAATTGGGAGTTAGAGCCCAGTAATCTATTTTTACAAGCCCTGCAGGTGATTCGGCTGCCTGCTAACATTTGAGAACCCCTGCCCCATCCTACTCCGTTTCCAGGCAGAGGTCCCCACTATCACCCCTACTTCTGCTTAACAGGCATTCTTGGGTGTGTGATCTCTGTGGGAAGACTAGCAGCTCTGCTTCCTTTCCTGCGGTCTGTTTCCTTTGGCCTTGCTACCCTGACAGCCACACTACTAGTATAAGGAGAGTTGGTGCCAGCCCCTGTAGGAGAACACAGTAGGTAGGTGGAGCGACTAGCCCATCTCTCCTCACCCAGGCTCCAGCCCTGGGTGTGGTATTTAAAAAGGAGGTAAACAGCGGACTGCCAAGCACCCTGTCTCTCCAGATTTCTAGTGTTCAAACACTGCCCCCTTGTGGTATAGCTGCATGCAATCGATTTCTCGGTCTTAATTTCAGTCTTTTCAGTACTGCTTCTCCTTTTCACAATTACACTTATTGATTAGGCAGGCCTGCGTGAAGATATGCTGGAATCACTGTTCCTTGCCTTTCAGGGCTTGATCATCTTTCTTCCCCTCATCAGTAAAGCCCATGGTGAATAAAGCATATTATAGGGCACTGCATAGAAGTAGCTTAGAAATAGAAGATCTGGTCCTTGCCCTCCAGAAATTTACACTGTGGTTGGAGAAATTCTATATACAGACTGTGATCAATTTTGTTACCTTTGTACAACCTCATTTTCAAGTTAGACATTGATCCTTCTGAATCCCTTTCCAGTCTCTGAATTTGGTCTTTATCACTTTTGGGTGATTTTGAGCCGTGGCATTGTTTCACCTCCTGCCAATTGCTGCTGCTGAAGAGTAAAGGCCTGGCCTTTGCCAAAATGGTAGGATATGTTTGTGATAGGAGAGCCAGGCCTATTGGCAGTATTCCTCTGAGATTACAGTTGCTCTTGGGCTCCCTCCAAAATATCAAGGGCTGGCTTAAGAGCTGGAATTTCCTTCATCTCTGAAATTATCCCCTGCTTGTTCTAGTCATTTTCCTGACCATTGCCCATGTCCCCCAGAGCAGTGAACAGTGATGGGTTTTAGCAGTTGGCCAGTTGAGAGGCTTCTTGTGTAAAGGGGGTAATTGGCTGGCTGCCTGAAGTCCAGTCAGTTTGTGCTGTCATGGCAGGGAAAAAGACCTTCCACTCCCTGCTCTGAGAAGGTAGAAGGTACCTCATGGTCATATAATGAATAGGAATTTCCCTAATCCTTTTATCCCTGCCTTGGGTTCAAGAGAGGGGTGGTTTGGTGTTTGACCCAGCTGCAGAGGGTCATAGATGCAGTACCTCCTATCCTGATCTTAGGCACCTGTGACATTTCTTAGATGTCCACTGGATTTCCTCTGACAGGTCCATTCCAATCATAATTTAAGGATCTTACAATGTTTAGTGCTCTGGAAACAGTTACCCCTTTAAAATTGGGACTCTGTTGTGAAATTTGACATTGTACTTCAAAGTTTTCAGAAGTGCACTAAGTATGAAATGAGAGTTTGCCTCTGTGTTAACAGAAAACATTAAGGAATAGTAACTCACTGAATACTAACAAGGTAAAGTAATAATGGAGTGATATGTTAAATGTAGGTGTTTGAAGGGAGAGGAAAATATTGGGACTATGTACCAGTTATCTTACATATGTAGTTTTTTACTTAGATCTGGATTTAATCATGATCTTGGCAAATTGTTTAACATAATATCTAGTTTCCCCTGTAAAATGAGAATAATTGTATATAGGGGTTTGTGGTGAGGATTAAATGAGATCATGCATGTCAAATGCTCAGCATGGTTTCTGGCACATAGAATTTAATAAATGTTAGCGATAATCCCTCGGTTGTGCCAGACAGAAGCCTGATCATTGAGTCTTCCTCCACACTCAACCATCACTAGTATCCACTTGATCCCTGTCTTGAGGACTAAATGCCATAACCCGAGTCCCAGCTCCCTTCTGGACTACAACTCTTTTGGATTACAACAGTCCGTTAACCATTTTGCATCGGTGTTGCCTGGCCTTCAATCCCTCCACCCTTACTTAGGTCAGAATGATTGTTCTAAAATGCAACCTTTTTTTTTTTTAAAGATTTTATTTATTTGACAGAGAGACACAGCGAGAGAGGGAACACAAGCAGGGAGAGTGGGAGAGGGAGAAGCAGGCTTCCCGCTGAGCAGGGAGCCTGATGTGGGGCTCGATCCCAGGATCCTGGGATCATGACCTGAGCTGAAAGCAGACGCTTAACGACTAAGCCACCCAGGTGCCCCCTAAAATGCAACCTTGATCATTTCACTTTCCTGCTTAAGTAGGTAATTGGTTCCCATTGTTTTCAAGATAAAGTCCAAACTACTAGCATGGCATTTAAGGCCTTTCATGATTGAATTATTCTTTTCTGTCTAGCTACTTGTCCCATCCAGTGTACTTCTGGGACATGATGTTTTCTCCTTCTGCCTGTTTACCATCTCTCAGTTTGGATGTTCTCTGAGATGACTTCCCTATCTCTTTACCAACTTTTCTTCTTCTGTTCACTTTTTTGTGTCTTGAATTTATCTTTTTCAGCTTAACTCTGTAATAGTAGTTTCTTTCTTTCTTTTTTTTTTTTTTAAGATTTTATTTATTTATTTATTTGAGACAGAATGAGAGAGAGAGAGAGCACATGAGAGGGGGGAGGGTCAGAGGGAGAAGCAGGCTCCCTGCCGAGCAAGGAGCCTGATGTGGGACTCGATCCCGGGACTCCAGGATCATGACCTGAGCCGAAGGCAGTCGCTTAACCAACTGAGCCACCCAGGCGCCCCTCTTTCTTTCTTTTTTTAAAGATTTTATGTATTGTTTATTTGACACAGAGCAAGAGAGCACGCGCGCACACACAGAAGCAGGGGGAGCAGCAGGCAGAGGGAGGAGAAGCTGACTCCCCACTGAGCAGGGAGCTCAACATGGGGCTCGATCCCAGGACCCTAGGATCATGACCTGAGCTGAAGGCAGACGCTTAACCGACTGAACCACCCAGGCTCAGTAGTAGTTTATTTCTATATTTGTTGTGATGTATTGCTTATTTGCCTTTCTCTCTCCATTAGATTTTCAGTTACCTGGAGGTTGGGTCTTTGTTGTTGGTTTTGTTTTGTTTTGTTTTTTTGAACCACTATATTCCCAGTGCCTAGTATTATGCCCAGCATTTACATGCTCAATAAATGGGACACCTGGGTGGCTCAGTTGGTTGATCGTCTCACTCTTGATTTCGGCTCAGGTCATGATCATCAGGTCTTGGGATCGAGCTCCACGCTTGGCAGGGCGTCTGCTTGAAATTCTCTTCCTCTGCCCCCTCCCCACCCCCCCAAATAAAGAAATCTTTAAAACAGCAAATGCTCAAGAGACGCCTGGGTGGCTCATTCGGTTAAGCTTCTGCCTTTGGCTCAGGTCATGATCCCAGGGTCCTGGGATTGAGTCCCGCATGGGAGCCTGCTTCTCTCTCTGCATGCCACTCCCCCTGCTTGTGTTCTTTTTCTCTCTGACAAATAAATAAAATCTTTTTATAAATAAATAAAATCTTTTTTAAAAAATGCTCAATAAGTATTTTTTTTAAGTCCTCTCTACACCCAGTATGGGGCTCAAAATTTAAAATCCCTAGATCAAGAGTCATATGCTGTACTGACTGAGAGGAGCCAGGAGCCCCTCAATAAATTTTTTTTTTTTAAAGATTTATTTATTTGACAGAGACAGTGAGAGAGGGAACACAAGCAGGGAGAGTGGGAGAGGGAGAAGCAGGCTTCCCGCCGAGCAGGAAGCCTGATGCGGGGCTCGATCCCAGGACCCTGGGATCATGACCTGAGCCAAAGGCAGACACTTAACGACTGAGCCACCCAGGCGCCCCTCAATAAATATTTCTTGAAGGAACATATCACAGTAGCAATGATCAATTGTGCCTGGCACTGTACTAAATATTTCTCTATTGAAGCAAAATATATATAACATGAAGTTTACCATTAAACCATATTTAAGTGTACAGTTTAGTGGCATTAAGTATTTGCACAATGTTGTGTAACTATCACAACTATGTATCACAGCTATTTCCAAAACTTTTTCATCACTCGAAACAAATTCAGTCATCATTAAGCAATAATTCCCCCCCACTCTCCTCTCCTCCTTGGTAGCCTCTACTCTTTATTTGTCTAATCTAGATACCTCATATATGTGCAATCATACAATATTTGTCCTTTTGTGTCTGGTTTATTTCACTTAGCATATTTTCAAGGTTTATCCATGTTGTAGCATGTATCAGAAGCCCATTCCTTTTAATGGCTGAATAATCCATTGTACATATGTACCACATTTTGTTTATCCATTCTTTTTTTTAAAGATTTTATTTTATTTTTTTAGAGATTTTATTTATTTGAGAGAGAGAGAGCAAGAGAGAAAGCGCATGCATGAGCAGGGGTGGGGGAGGAGAGGAGCAGGAGAGGGAGAAGCAGGCTCCTCGCTGAGCAGGGAGCTGGATCCCTGGACTCCGAAGGCAGACGCTTAACCAACTGAGCCACCCAGGACACTTGGGTTGCTTCTACTTTTTAGTTATTTTGAATAATGGGCGTGAACATGGGTGTTCAAAGATCTCTTTGACACCCTGCTTTCAGTTCTTTTGGGTGTTTACCCAGAAGGAAAATTGCTGGATCCTATGCTAATTCTATTTTTAATTTTTTGAGAAACCACCATACTGTGTTCCATGCAGCTGCACCATTTTACATGTCCACTACCAGGGCACAGGGTTCCAATGTCTTTCCCCCCCCCCCCCCAATTTCTTTATATCCTCACCAACACTTGTTATTTTCTGGGGGGCAGGGGGTGTTTGTTTGTTTGTTTTTAGTAGGCTCCACACCCAGCGTGGAGCTTGAACTCAGGACTCTGAGACCAAGAGTCAGACGCTTAACTGACTAAGCCACCAGGTGCCCCTGTTTTTGTTTTGTTTTGTTTTGTTTTTAATTTTTTTGATAGTAGTCATTCCTAATGGGTGTGAGGTGATATCTCCTTGTACAGTTTTTTTTTCCTTGTGGGTTTTGATTTGCTTTTCTATGATGACTAATGATGTTGAGCATCTTTTCATGTGTTTATTGGCCATTTGTATATCTTTGCAGAAATGTGTATTCAAGTCCTTCACCCATTTTTGAATTAGGTTGGTTTTCATAAGTTGTTGAATTATAGGAGTTCTTTATACACTCTGGGATATTAGTCACTTACCAGATATATGACTCACAAATATTTTCTCCTGTGGATTGTCTTTTCACTCTCTTGATAGTGTCTTTTGTTGCACAAAAGTTTTTAATTTTGATGAAGTCCAATTTATCTGTTTTTTGTTATTGTTAAATGTGTTTTTGGTACCAAGCCAAGAAATCACTGCCAAATTTGATGTCATGAAGATTTTCCCATGTTTTCTTCTACAAATTTTATAGTTTTTATCTTTAAGTTTAGGCCTTTGATCCCTTTTGTGTTAATTTTTGTATATGATGTGCAGAAGGGGTCCAACTTTATGCATGTGGATACCCAGTTTTTTCTGCACCATTTGTTGAACAGACTGTCCTTTCCCTATTGGATAGTCTTGGCACCTTCGTCAAAAATCAACTGGCCATATATGTGAGGTTTATTTCTGTGCTCTCTATCCTGTTTTGTTGGTCTACATGGCTGTCCTTTATGCCGGTACCACAGTAACTGTGTTTTATACATTGCATTTAATCGTCACAATAGTCTCTTGAAGTAGAGATTCTTACTTTATAACTGAGGGAACAACCTCAGAGAAGTTAATTACCTAAAGGAATCATAGCTAGTAACTGGGAGACTAAGGATTTAAAACCTATCCAATTCCAAGCATTAGAAATAAAATCAGTTCCTAGAAAAACATTTCCCTCTGGGGAATTGAACCCAGACAGTTAAAAGCACTCAAACAGAATAAACTTACAACTCTGCAGAGATGGAATCATTAACCCATTCAGCAGACTTTGAGTGAATATTCTGTGAGACGTTGGTGTTAGATGCTATAGATACAATGGGGAAGCTGAGGCATGAATAACTTGAGTGACATGTTGGAGTTCCCTCAGTGTGTTACTCAAAACCAAGGTTTATTCCATTATGTCATGCTGCACCATCAGAGAAGGTGGGTCTTGGTATGTATTTCTCATACTTCTTTGAAACAAATACTTACCTTCCCTGGGAAATTCTAATAACCTCTCTAGAGAATAACTGCATTTTGTGATGAGCCTATCATCTAAGGAGACATCTTGGAATTCTAGTTTCTGTAGTTTGTAATCTGATAGAATAGCTTATTTCCCATATATGAAACTGTACCATAATATTGGATGTATTTTTTCCAAACTATACTTTGCTCACATACGTGCTTTTCAGAAGCAATGGTTTAAAGGGTCAGTAAGGTTTAGAGCCTCATTTTGAAGGGGAAAATACAGGCTTACTGATAGAATGAGAAAACCAGTGCTGGCAGGTCTTACTCATTTATCATTTGTTGAGCCTTTACTTTATTTGATACTATCCTAGGTCCTGGAGATACAAAGACAATGTGACACAAAATGCCTTAAGGCATTTACATTCCTTAGGTGAAAAACACTTTATAGCAGGTTCTGAGGCCTGCAAGATCTGCTGTTGAAAAATATTCATTCTTTAGTTCAACAAATATTTAATTATACCAGGTGCTGCTGTAGGCATTCAGGATATATCAATGACAATGATTCCTCTCTTTAAGGAGTTTATATTCTACCAGAGGGAGTGAAATGATAAGCAATAAACATAAACTAGTACTAGTATGGTAGGTGATGATAAGTACTATCGAAAAAGAAAAAAAGAAAATCGGGACGCCAGAGTGCCCGACAGCCTTCAGAATTGAATAGGGTGATCAGGGAAGGCTTCACTGAGGTCATATTTGAATAAAAATCTGAAGGGGATGGAGGAAGCAAATCCTATATCTGGATTAAGAGCAATCCAGGCAGAAAGCATCAAGTCCAGAGGCCTTGAGGTGAAATTATCCTTGGCATGTTCAAGGAACAGAAGGGATTAGGATTTTGGAGCTGAATGAAAGAGTGGTAGTAGATGAGATCACAGAGATAATGGAGTGGGGCATTTTGTAGGGCATTTTACTCAGTGATATGGAATGCCAAGGGATGGTTTTAAGCAGGGGGATAATAATGACCTTTCTGATGTGTTTACATGATCACTGTAGTACTTGCCATTACTTTGCTTATTAGCTTAGGTGATGAGACTAAAGGGGGGGGGGGGGGCGGGCAGAGTGGAAGCAAGAGAGAAAGCAGGAGGCTACTAAAATAATCCAAGCATTAAAATGAGTAGTGGAGGTGGTAAGAAGCAAATGGGTCTGTATATATTTGAAAGTAGGGCCAATGGAACAGAGGAGTCCAGGAGGGTTCCAAGATTATTGGCTTGCATAACTCTTAAGAATACTGTTGCCATTAATTGAGGATGAAGACTAGGAGCTATTCTTTTGGTGGGGGGAGTGGGGGGTGGAATCAGGAGCTTAGTTTTCATCATGTAAATTTGAAATGTCTGTTACACATTTATGTAGGCAATTGACTATTATATATAACGTAGCTTTATTGAACTCTGAGGAGGCACTGTTTTAAATGCATTGCCCTCAGTCATTCTTGTGGTCCTCAGAGCAGCCCAATGAAGTGGATTTTTTTACAGGTGAGTAAACAGGGCTTAAGTAACTTGCCTAATGTCACAGCTAATGAGAGAGAGCTAGAATACAAATCTAGGCAGTCTGACTTTAAAGCCCATGGTCTTAATCATTAAGCAATATCGATTCTCAGAGGATGCCCGGCACATAGTAGTAGGCAGTCAACAAGTATTACGTCAGTGAATGAATGAAACAATAAAAGGCACAGATGGGGGGCTGCTATCTTCAGAGTCCTCCTATGTTCGTCATTTTTCTTGGTGGTCTCTGACACCACGCTTAAGTAAGGGAGAAAGATTAAAGAGGGGTGGCTAATGCTAGTGACAACGACTCTCAGATGGTTTAGTTTCTACCAGAAAGGCCCCGTTTAACCCGAACGCAGAAGCTCGGCTTTTAGTGCATTTATTCATACTAGGAGTACTGCGAGCAGCCCAATTTCTGCTTCAGGCAACATTAACTTTGCAGTAATCTAGTTACCACATTTCGCTGGAGAAACCTAAAGAGGTAGGAACTTTATGCGCAAACTTTACAGCTCCCGCACGCATGCGCTCCGCCGGGGAACGTGGTTACTACGGCTGCGCGAATCGGTGGCCCGGCCCTTCCCCGTCACATGTCGGGGGACCGCGGCGTGGCGGCGGCTGTGGCGGTAGCGACGGCAGGCCGTAGGGCGGTCGGAGGGTTTCCGGTTCCGGTGTAACGTTCGGGCTCCGTCTCAGGGGCTGAAGTTTGTGAGGTGAGTAGTGGCCCCGGGCCCTGGGAGGGTATCTTTCTGTCTGAGCGGCGAGGGCCAGGGCGCACCCCAAGGGGAGGACCGAGGCGGGAACGTTCAGTGGGAAGGAAGCCGAAAGAAGTACAAGGTTCTGAGGGAGAATGGGTTGGAGTGAGATTGTGGGGAGGAAAAGGGCGGGGGCGGGAAGGGGACGGGGTGGGGAGACCAGCTCTAAGATGAGTTTGGGGAGAACAAGGTGGGGTAGGGAGCCGGTCGGAGATAGGGAGAGAGCAAACAAGTATGGAGGTTGCAGGAGGGAAACTCAGGTTATAGCGAAGAAGAGCACGGAGTAAGGAAATTCTTCACAAGATTGGATTCTGCTACCTGCTCATTCAGACATCCTTCTGCCTTCCTCTTCTTCCACCCCCACCCCGCCGCGCCCCAGGCAGTTACTGTTGAACATTTGATTAGTGACAAAGCTGGTTACTGTTTGAAACTTTTATTTTTGCCCACCGGCTGTTTAGTTTCCTAGAGGATTAGGTAGAAGTTGAATACATTTGTTAGCATGGTACTTGGGCACACATTTTATCTGATAGAGTCGTACCTCATTTGTTGCTTTGGATTTTCAAATTGTTTACACTTTCTAGCCCGTGATTCAATTCTAGTGGAATATAAGATCCATTAAGGCGAGGATTGTCTGTTATGTTCATTGTTGTATGTATCCTCAGCACACAGTACACTACCTGAGACCTAGTAATTATGCAATAAGTATTTATTGAATGATTAAAGATGATTTAGATTTGGGAATTGGCCTCATTTTGTAAAATGAGTAAACTGAGGCACAGAGGAATTACTTGCCCCAAAGCTGGCACATAGAGTTCAGTGTTCCAGATGTTCAGCGTGAACTGTTTCTTCACTCTCTTTGGTCTGAGTATGCTTTTTTTGAGTAATGCACATTTAATATGTAGAGATTTATAGGCTATACTGCTGTCTCATGAGAGGTGAATAGAGCTGCCACAGAATTATTCATATAACATGTCCCTGAGTCACAAAATCTTTCACTCCTGTTTTCATGACTTTAATCTACTAGCTTCCTATGGTTATACCAAAATTAAATATACTGTTTAGCAACAGGTCTTATAGAAGATAAACCTGCCAAGAAAGTAGAAATTAATCAGACTGTCTTTTAGGAGAAAAGATGTCTTAAAACATCTTGAAAGATTGACTCCCAGAGACCCTGATTTGTAGCACTGCTGGGAGGAAGTTTGCTTGGAAATTGAGGTCAGTGCTGTTTATTGACTTTAGGCACTTACAGAGAAAATCAGAGAAGTAAAATTTTCTCTATGCTCATGAGCTTTGCTATTTAACTAGGAGAGCAGAATGTAAACATGAATAATGTTGAAGAATTACACTAACTTGCATTAAATAACAAAGATTTGTTGTAGAAGGTCCTTTATGATAGTGAAGGGAGAGAGGGAAAGTACATCCAAAATGAGGGTATTCTTTTCTGAGCTGAGGGATTAATCTTATGAAGTCTATTGACAGATCCTGTAGAACATGAGAGAAAATGATCTGGGTCCAGAATTTCCACAGGGATGAATATGACTATAGAGAAATGTGACAACATTCTTAAGGATTAGGAGCTAGCTTGCTTGCTTGCTTGCTTGCTTATTTATTTATTTATTTAAAGTAGGCTCCACACTCAATGTGGGGCTTGAACTCACAACCCTGAGATTGAGAGTTGCATGCTCTACCAGCTGAGCCAGCCAGGCCCCCCAGGATTAAGAGCTTTTTTTTTTTTCTTAGCCGAGGGAAGGCCAGTGGGAAAGGGAGAAAGAATCTCGCAGGCTCCACACCCAGCGTGGAACCGGGTGTGGAGCTCAGTCCCATAATCCCAAGATCATGACCTGAGCCAAAATCAAGAGCCAGATGCTTGACTGACTGAGCCACCCAGGCACCCTGGATTATGAGCTTTAATATAGGATGACTGACCTGGATAAGGCCACCTTTTTTTTTTTTAATTCATCCCTTAAAAGAAGGGAAACCTACAGGTCAAGGCTGTGTTAAGGAATGCCTGCCTGGAAGCAGGAGGAATAGAAAAGCTGGTCTCTGGGTGGGCTTTTCAGTCTTGTTTTCAGGTTGTATGTTTGCCAGTCCTTGTTATGACAGGATCAAAAAAGAAGCTAGAACTCATTTCTCAGACTACATTATTCCCAGGGTTTTCTTGTTTATTCCACAGATTTCACTGATCCACTGATACTTACTGAGTTAGGATTACAAACAGAATGTGGTTCTATCTGCTTTGAAGTATGGGTTTTAGGGAAAGTATTTGGCTTGAAATGAAGTGCAGGCACTTGCTTGATTGAGAATAGGGGTGGAGATGGCATTCCTGATACACTAAACATTGCCTGGAATGGTCTTTTCCTACCCTCTAACAGAGCTTTTTCCTGGTTTCTTTTTAGGTGCAGTACTGAATCCCATTTGAGCTACCCTCCTTTTCCTGAAGAATGGCACTGTCTAAGAGGGAGCTGGATGAGCTGAAACCATGGATAGAGAAGACAGTGAAGAGGGTGCTGGGCTTTTCAGAGCCCACAGTGGTCACAGCAGCACTGAACTGTGTGGGGAAGGGCATGGACAAGAAGAAGGCAGCTGGTATGTCCTTTTATGAATCTTTGGACTTAACATATAGCATGATCCTAAACACTGCTTTGAATTTCCCCAAATTCTCTGTTAGGAGTATCTGAAAAAGATCAGGCCACATTTTATTTTCTCCTGCATTATAATAGAAATAGCCTAAGTGACTAATTTTGCTTTTTTTCTTATTTTTTATACTACTTGTGACATACTTTTTTTTTTTTTTTAATGTAACCTCTACACCCAACGTGGGGCTTGAACTCATGACCCTGAGATAAAGATGCCTGCTCTATCAACTGAGCCAGCCAGGCACCCCATTTATGACCTATTTTGAATCTCCGACTGACTTCCTTTAACCAATGTATTGAATTAGCTAAGTTATATTTACTTAAGAAATATGCTAAAGTAGATAGGTATATTCAGATTCAGATTGACATCTAAATATATCAAATTCTCTGAAAAAAAAAACATGAAAAAAGTTGAGGAAGGTAGAATTTGTTTATGGTAGTCTCCTATAGCTTGCTGTTTGGGAAGAGTTAGGATAACTTTTTTTTTTTTTTTTTTTTTTTTTTTAAGATTTTACTTATTGGGGCACCTGGGTGGCTCAGTCGTTAAGCGTCTGCCTTCGGCTCGGGTCATGATCCCAGGGTCCTGGGATCAAGCCCCACATCGGGCTCCCTGCTCAGCGGGAAGCCTGCTTCTCCCTCTCCCACTCCCCCTGCTTGTGTTCCCTCTCTCGCTATGTCTCTGTCAAATAAATAAATAAAATCTTAAAAAAAAAAAAAAAAGATTTTACTTATTTACGGGGCTCCTGGGTGGCTCAGATGGTTAAGCGTCTGCCTTCAGGCTCCCTGCTTGGCGGGGAGCCTGCTTCTCACTCTCCCTCTACTGTTCCCCCTGCTTGTGCTCTCTCGCTCTGTCAAATAAATAAATAAAATCTTCAAAAAAAAAAAGATTTTACTTGAGAGTGTATGAGCAGGGGGGAGGGGTAGAGGGAGAGGGAAAAGCAGGCTTCCACCTGAGCAGGGGGCCTCCTGACCCAGGACTCAATCCCAGGCGCCTGGGATCATGACCTGAGCCCAAGGCAGACGCTTAACCGACTGAGCCACCCAGGTGCCCTGTTCATCATAAACTTTGATACTCAACCTAAATAGGTTGCTCTGGCTATGCTACTTCCTACTGCAAAAAATTCTAACTGTACTTTTACCTCAAAAGGTAAGGTCATTCAATGTAAAAGGATTTATGGAAATCCTACAAAGAACTTAGGACAACATTTCCCTCCCTCCTCAGGATAAAATTTCAGTGTTGGTATCTGTTATATGCCTAGTATTGGACTAAGTACTCTTATTTTTCAACGCTACCACCCCTTTTTCTCCTGTCAGACCATCTGAAACCTTTTCTTGATGATTCTACTCTCCGATTTGTGGACAAACTGTTTGAGGCTGTGGAGGAAGGCCGAAGCTCTAGACATTCCAAGTCTAGCAGTGACAGGAGCAGAAAAAGAGAGCTGAAGGTAGGTTACAGTTAACTATCTGATGAGCTTAGGAGTGTTTTGAATGGTAACAAAGTTGCTGAGCTTACGTGGCTCACACTTTGATATCCACTGTTAGAATACATAATATTCAAGAGAGGTACTTAGACATTAAAGGAGAGGAGGTGAACTTGTATTATCACCATCTTGTGGTGATGAACTACCTAAGTTCATGGGTTGAAATACTCCGAGGAAACAGTTGGTAGCTTTGTCCCTTTTCATGTACAGTTAGGAGTTTTTGGTTCTTATGTTTCCCTATGTCTCCTCCACCCTCCCCCTTGCTACTACCTATGAATTGATTGCTCTAAGATTTTATTCTTTGGATTACTTGATAACTAATAGATTGATTCAGAACGTGACTCCACTACTGTAGACCTCATTGTTGCTCCTTTTAGAGGTTTCTCTGGAATGGACCTGTAGATGGGATACCTAACAGAAATTATTATTTACTCTATGTCCTGAGAGCCTACTGTTTGCTATATAGCAAATTGCTGGTCATCAGGCCCCATGAGTGGAGTACTTAAAAGGACCATCATTACTGTCTTACCTCCTTCACTTTTTATTCGGTAATTGCTTATTTGTCATGCCTTCTTTTAATATTAGCAGCTTCAAGTGGCTGATTTCTCTATCTCTTTTCTGTCTCTTCCATTAAAAAAGTCTTTTCTGTGACTCCCATCAAATCTTCCAAAGTGCATTTGATATCTTGGCTATCCTATTGCTTTTCCTGAGGCACAAGGAGTGAATAAGCAACGTCTGCTTGGTCCCAGGCCAGGCTATGGTACCAAGAGAAATAGAGAATTGTGTGCCTTTTGTGTTTAAGGCATTGTAAGGTGTTCAGAGGAATGAGAAATAGTCCTTGCCTTAAAGGAATTTGCAATTTAAGGGAGGGGAACAACAAAATACAGTCACAAATTATAAAATCTAAGTAACAGTTTCATATAAATTTTAGAGTTGACTGTAGAGTCAGACTGACGTTGAATTTGTTATGTTTGAGGGGGAATGCTTGATCCACAATATACACAGATCTGTGGAGTGAAGTTAGTGCTACAATAGGACACATGGCTGTGTAAGTGCTGAGGCATGCTGTGAATGAAGTGACTACATTGGGTGGGATTAATAAAAATGGTTTCTTGAAGGAGGTATCTAGATAGCCTTGGGATATGGGTCCCATTTTGGTCCATTCAAGTCCCCACCCCACACAATATATTATGGGAGAGTCCTTTTTCTTGAACTGTAGGAGTTCCAGGAAGCGCTCGCCCCTGGCCGAGGATATGTCCTTGCAAAACACGAGCCCTCCTAGTGAAGAGGGGATGTCACCCAAAGCCTACCACCGGTGTGTACATTTGCTTTTTCCCATTGTCCCTTCCAGTTGGCCACTCTTGGTCCTGTTAAATTCACCTTGCAAATTAGTCAACATATTTGAGTTCCCATTGTTTGATGAGAACAAGTGTTATTGGGGAATACTGAAGAAGAAAGAGAAAACCCCTGTCCTGGAAGAGCTTAGACTCTAATTGGGAGAAAGTACTAACATTGAAAAACTTAACACTTGGCAAGCAGAATATCAGCAATGTAATTTTATGTAGTATGAACCCAGGTCTTAAGTGCTAAGAGGATGTGAAACAACAGTTTGATCGGAGTGGGATGAGATTATTTATGAGGAAAACATCCTGAAGGAGGTGAGTTTCAGGCAGGATTTGGAATAGGGGTGTGGAAAAGTTGAGGGAAATCATTACAAATGTAGGAAGTAGCATTTATAAAGACCTTTAGATGGGAACCTTTATAAGGACGTGGAGATGAAATTTGCTTGACTGGAGTAGGAGAATGATGAAGTTGGGTGAGATGGTCCATTTGGTGGAGGGTCTAGAGGACTCTGGGAAAAGCCACAAGATGCTGATAGGGACTAGGATGATTCTTCCCTTCTCCCATGGGCAGGGAGACAACTCTTCTTTCATCTTGGGTTTCCTTAGGAAGTGTTTGGTGATGACTCTGAGATCTCCAAGGAATCATCAGGAGTAAAGAAGCGACGGATACCCCGTTTTGAGGAGGTGGAAGAGGAGCCTGAAGTGATCCCTGGGCCTCCCTCAGAGAGTCCTGGTATGCTAACTAAGCTCCAGGTGAGTAATTAGGAACTGAAAGCAGTGACTTTATGAGTTGAAGAAGCAAGAGATGCATGGGTCCAGATTTGTTGTGACCTTAATTTGAATTAGTGGTTAGCATCGGGGAAAACTATTGAAATGAGCACCTGTTATGTGGCGAACAAGGTATATTACATACATCATTTGCCCAATTGTGTACCTCATTGGATCATTGAGAAAATTATTGAAATAATCAGAACTTGGCTTGATGGCAGAGGAAAATTTCCAAATACAATGCAGAGATGAGATGATATAATCCACTAAAAATAATTTCAGGTTGACTTTGTTGGGGTGTTGTGGGGCTTTTGTTTTTGTTTTTTCTTTAGATGTTATTTATTTAGAGAGAGAGCGCACACGCAAGCAGAGAAGGGCAGAGGGAGAGAATCCCAAGCAGACTCTGTGCTGAGCACAGAGCCCAGCACAGGGCTCGATCCAAGAGCCAAAACCAAGAGTCAGATGCTTGACCATCTGAGCCACCCAGGTGCCCCGACTTGTGTTGTTGGTTTTTTTAATAGGAATTATCTGGGGGCGCCTGGATGTCTCAGTCAGTTAAGCTTATGCTTTCAGCTCAGAACATGATCCCGGGGTACTGGGATCGAGCTCCGTGTCAGGCTCTCTGTTCAGCAGGGTGTCTGCTTCTCCCTCTCCCGCTTTTCCTCCCCCAGCTCATGCTCTCTCTCTCGCTCACTCTTTCTCCCAAATAAATAAAGTCCTTAAAAAAATTTTTTTTGATATCATTATAAACAGTAAATATTTCTTATACCATTTAAAATTTCTTGGAAGGGAAATAGAATATATACATATATGTGTATGGATGGGTAGATGAATTTCTTTCTTTTCTTTTCTTTTTTTTTAAGGTAGGGAGGGGTAGAGGGAGCAAGAGAGAGAGAATCTTAAGCAGGCTCCACGCCCAGCACATAGCCTATCCTGGGGCTCGATCTCGTGACCCTGAGATCATGGCCTGAGCTGAAATCAAGAGTTGAACACTTAACCGATTGAGCCACCCAGGTGCCCCTGAATTTGCTTATTTGTACCTATATATGATATTTCTGCAAGGAAAAAAACTGATACTGGTGCTTTATAGAGAAGAGGGGTGGAAGAAATCATAATATACCCTTTTGTACTTTTTTTGCATTTTGAACTATGTAAATATATCATCTACTCAAAAAAAATGTTTAAAAAGTAAATTCTGAAGGGGCTCCTGGCGGGCTCAGTGAGAAAAGCCTGCGACTCTTGATCTTGGGGTCGTGAGTTTGAGCTCCATGTTGGGTGTAGAGATTACTTAAATAAATAAAACTTCAAAAGAAATTAAAAATAAATTTTATTTATTTATTTTTTTTAAAGATTTTATTTATTTATTTATAGGACAGAGAGAGACACAGCAAGAGAGGGAACACAAGCAGGGGAAGAGGGAGAGGGAGAAGCAGGCTTCCCGCCGAGCAGGGAACCTGACGTGGGGCTCGATCCCAGGTCCTGGGATCATGACCTGAGCCGAAGGCAGACACTTAATGACTGAGCCACCCAGGTGCCCCTAAAAATAAATTTTAAAAAATACCTTGAGGCACCTTGGGAGCAAGGTCTCTTTTGGAAAATTAAAGAAGGGTTATTTGACTGTATTCTCAAAGCTCATCATTTTCATATTCTTTAGGACAAAAGAACGGTTTTACAGAGGCTAGGAAGCAGGTCTTTGCTTTGTTGTCTCCAGTTACCCAAAGCAGGCATTCATAAAAAGTATGATAATTTGGGGCACCTGGCTGGCCCAGTTGGGAGAGCATGCACTCTTGATCTCAGGGTCCTGAGTTCGAATCCCATGTTAGGTATAGAAATTCCAAAAAATAAATAAATACACTTTAAAAAAAAGTATGATAATTTGTGTGGATTCTGTTAGGAGTTTTGTTGAAATGCTCATAATAGTCTTGTAGTGTAGGTACTGTTTTTACCCTTTTTAGACACTTGGAGTTTTAGAGATTAAATGCCATGTCCAAGGTCATACAAGCATTAAGTGTCAGAGTTAAAAGTCAAGCTCGGGTTTCTCTTAACCTGATTTTTTTTTTTTTAAAGATTTACTTATTTATTTTGAGAGAGGTAGGGGAGAAGTAGTGGGAGAGGGAGAATCCCAAGCAGACTCCATGCTGAGCATGGAGCCTTTTGCAGGGCTGCATCCCACAGAGATCATGACCTGAGCCAAAAACACAAGTCGGACACTTAACCTGAGTTTTAACCATCAAGTTATGTTACTACCTAACATGCTAATCCTTCAATAGGATGATGGGTTGAAAAGTTTCAGTGCTTAACTATATAGCTTATCTTTACTAAATTTTCTAGCCAATCGTACAGGCCAGAATATGATGGGTTCATTCAAAAAATTTTAGTTCTCGGGCGCCTGGGTGGCTCAGTTAGTTAGGTGACTGCCTTCGGCTCAGGTCATGATCCTGGAGTCCCGGGATCGAGTCCCGCATTGGGCTCCCTGTTCAGCGGGGAGTCTGCTTCTCCCTCTGACCCTCCCCCCTCTCATGCTCTCTCTATCTCATTCTCTCTCTCAAATAAATAAATAAAAAATTAAAAAAAAAAAATTTTAGTTCTCTAGACCTGAAAGCCTTTTGCATTTAGGAACCTATATAGGAGAAATAAAAAAGATGTTGAGGTGCCTGGGTGGCTCAGTTGGTTAACAGTCTGCCTTTGGGGGGCGCCTGGGTGGCTCAGATGGTTAAGCGTCTGCCTTCGGCTCAGGTCATGATACCAGGGTCCTGGGATCGAGCCCCACGTCAGGCTCCCTGCGCAGCGGGGAGCCTGCTTCTCCCTCTCCCTCTGCCTCTCCCCCTGCTCATGCTCTCTCTCTCTCTGTATCTCTATGTCTCAAATGAATAAATAAAATCTTAAAAAAAAAAAAGAGTCTGCCTTTGGCTCAGGTCATGATCCTGGGGTCCTGGGATCAAGCCCCACATCGGGGGGCCTGAGCAGGGGGCCTGCTTCTCCTCCCTCTGCCGCTCCCCCTGCTTGTGCTCTCTCTGTCTCCCTCCACCAAATGAATAAATAAAATCTTTTTAAAAAAGAGAGAGAGATGTTAACAGTTTTTTAACTTCTCTCCCATCGAGAACAGATCAAACAGATGATGGAGGCAGCTACACGGCAAATCGAGGAGAGGAAAAAACAGCTGAGCTTCATTAGCCCCCCTACACCTCAGGTATTATGAAAAGAAGACTCTTTAGCAAAGAATTTCTTGCCGTCCACTCATTTGAGAGTCTGGAAGGTGACTGCATGTTCCACCCCACAATCTACCAGTGTGTGTGTGTGTGTCTATGTATTTGTGTGTAACCTGTCTGCCTGTCTAATTCTTCTGATTCTGACTTTTTTTTCTCTGGCTCACAGCCAAAGACTCCTTCTTCCTCCCAACCAGAGCGACTTCCAATTGGCAACACTATTCAGCCCTCCCAGGCTGCCACTTTCATGAATGATGCCATTGAGAAGGCAAGGAAAGCAGCTGAACTACAAGCCCGCATCCAAGCCCAGCTGGCACTGAAGCCAGGGCTCATTGGCAATGCCAACATGGTGGGCCTGGCCAATCTCCATGCCATGGGCATTGCTCCCCCGTGAGTATCTATTTCATGGAACCTCTTGTTACTTCTGAACCTGGAGAAGCAATAATGAAGGTTAAAAAGAACAAACAAAAACCTGGAGCATTACTGATTCTGTTCTTCCAAAGAACCTATATCATTTCTTAGTTTTATATTTCTTACGTATGCTGAATAAATACCAGTTGAATTCTTTTAGCTTCCTTGTTGCAGAATTTATCTTCTTTTTACAATTGATAGAACTAAGGTTAAGATTATTCATTTGTTGTTGGAGCTAGGAATAGAACCTGGTCTTCTGGTTCCTAACCCAGAGCCAAATCCATTAAATCACAGTGAGTGATACCAGATCTGAGCGTTTTCTACACTGGGTAGAGATGATAGACTTTATTTTTAACACATACAATTGGTTTGGCATATTATGTCTGACTCAGAAATTCAGGAGTGAAATAGGATTGCGAATTCTTATCAATGTAATATATATATAAATTCATTTCATCTGACTGTATTCTGTACTCAAATATTTAGTTTGATGTTTTGAATCAAGGTGTTACTATTCACTGATGGGCTTATGTTCCCTAGAATTGTGTAACCTATTATCTTTGTTGGGTTTGATTTATTTTATTTTATTTTGTTTTTGTTTGCTTTATTTATTGTCCCATGTGATAATTTATTTCTTTGTGGGCTATTTCTCAGGAAGGTGGAGTTAAAAGATCAAACTAAACCTACACCACTGATTCTCGATGAGCAAGGTCGCACTGTAGATGCAACAGGCAAGGAGATTGAGTTGACACACCGCATGCCTACTCTGAAGGCCAATATTCGTGCTGTGAAAAGGGAACAATTCAAACAACAGCTAAAAGAAAAGCCATCAGAAGACATGGAGTCTAATACCTTTTTTGACCCCCGAGTCTCAATTGCCCCTTCCCAACGCCAGAGACGCACTTTTAAATTCCATGACAAGGGCAAATTTGAGAAGATTGCCCAGCGATTACGGACGAAGGTACCTGGTTTAGAATATAACCTAGAACTTCGAAGAAGTTAGGAAGGGGACAAAGGAAATTTAATACAGTCCTAAAATACTATCAACCCAGTTCTCTAAGTTTTAGGCAATTAGATACACAAGTAATAAAGCAATGACTAATTTTTAAAATACTTCTTTTATTCCTGGAATACTTGATTTTTAGCTGATTTGTCTTCTTGATTACATTCTGCTTATGTGGAAATAAAACTGAGTTTGAAAACTCACATACAAACAGTGGAAGGAAACAATTCAGAACACTGAGTAACTGAGGAAAGCTAACCTGGTATTAACATTTACTGCAGATAAATTAACTCCACACGTGGAGAGTTAAGAATTGACTGTATATTCAGTGAGTTTTGCTCTTGTTTTCATCCTCTAAGAATGGTGTTTTCATAAAATTCCATTTCTGTATATTTGCTGTAGGCACACAGTGGGGTGAAGGGTGGTGATGAGAGTAGTTGTATGTAAATCAACTAAGGATAAAATAAAGTTGAAGGTTCTTCTGAGCTTTCAGAAATTATGAATTCTTTCATTAGGCATAAAGAGTTCCAAAAAGAGAGTGCTTTAAAATTTGGGGTTCTATCATGTCCCTGTTTTCTGTGGTTCCACTTTATCTTCATGTCTTGGTTTATTTTCTCTTCAGGCTCAACTGGAGAAGCTGCAGGCAGAAATCTCACAGGCAGCTCGAAAAACAGGCATCCATACTTCAACGAGGCTGGCCCTCATTGCTCCTAAAAAAGAGCTAAAGGAAGGAGATATCCCTGAAATTGAGTGGTGGGACTCTTACATCATCCCCAATGGCTTTGACCTGTGAGTTTGTTAGTTAATACCTTTTAATAAGGCTAGAGTTTTATTGGGAGAGTACTCATGCATTAAGTAAAATTTTTAAATCCTGGGGAAATAGGTAACCATACACAGACCATGTATTTGTGAAGAATATGTTGTATAGGTTTTTTTTTTTAGTTTTTGGGGTTAACGTAGGAAGGAACAGGCACAAATAATCTAAAAGAGAAAGAATGTAAATTTTTTTTTTTTAAAGATTTTATTTATTTTTATTTGAGAGAGAGAGAATGCGAGAGAGCAAGTACATGAGAGGGGGGAGGGTCAGAGGGAGAAGCAGACTCCCTACCGAGCAGGGAGCCCGATGCGGGACTCGATCCAGGGACTCCAGGATCATGACCTGAGCCGAAGGCAGTCGCTTAACCAACTGAGCCACCCAGGCGCCCCGAAAGGATGTAAATTTTATATTTGCTTTGGCTATACATAATCATTTGTTTTCTTAATTACATTTTTCTGCTACTTACAATAGGTTTTTATATTTCTTAAAGATCCAGTCTTAGAGGGGTGCCTGGGTGGCTCAGTCATTAAGGGTCCTGTGATCAAGCCCTGAATCGGGCTCCCTGCTTGGCAGGCAACATGCTTCTCCCTCTCCCTCTCCCACTCCCCCTGCTTGTGTTCCTGCTCTCACTGTCTCTCTCTGTCTGTCAAATAAATAAATAAAATCTTTAAAAAAAAAAAAAAAATCCAGTCCTAGAATAGAGGAAGGATTCTTAATTGATGGGGGAGAGAATGGTAAATAAAACATTTAAGAAACATTTGGAGAGCTTTAATTATATCTGCTCTTAATTCTGAGATTAAGAGCTTTATGAGACTTTGTCTCAGCGTTTCCCCTTACCCTTCCTCTGTCAACCACTGTCCCAGGGAGCTACTGTTATTAGTGAGAGAATGTGACATCCATCAGGGATGTTAGGGTAGGGAAAAGGTTGAGAATGACTGGTGTAGAGAGTATGTCCAACCTTAGGGGAAGCCAGTTTTCTCATCTTGAAAATTATGTGTAATATATTTACATGTTATAGATAAACACTAAAAAGTGCTAGAACACATCATGGAGAGTGCATTTTTTCATTGTGTTTCTGAGACTCCCTCTCTCGGAATTGTCTCTACCCACATATCCTGTTTTCCCTTCTTCCTCCAATTTTAGTACAGAGGAAAATCCCAAGAGAGAAGATTATTTTGGAATCACAAATCTTGTTGAACATCCAGCCCAACTCAACCCTCCAGGTAAAGTATAAATTACTCAGTTAAGGCTCTAGAGAAGTATTATCCAATGGAACGTCATGTGATATGAACATGTTCTCCCACCTGTGCTGACCATACAGTACCTACTATCCACTTGTGACTATTGAGCATTTGAAAACTGAGTTGCACTAATACAACTGAAAGACGAAATTTTAAACTATATTCAATTTTAATTAATTTCAATTTAAATAATGTATGTATGGGGCACCTGGGTGACTCAGTTGGTTAACATCTGACTCTTGATTTCAGCTCAGGTCATGATCTCAGGGTTGTGGGATCGAGCCCTGTGTCAGGCTCTGTGCTGGGTGTGGAGCCTGCTGCTTAAGATTCTCTCTCTCCCTCTGCTACTCCTCGTATGCATGCACGCACTCTCTCTTTATAAATAAATAAATCTTTAAAAATAGACAGATAGAGGGGCGCCTGGGTGGCTCAGTCATTAAGCGTCTGCCTTCGGCTCAGGTCATGATCCCAGCATCCTGGGATCGAGCCCTGCATCGGGCTCTCTGCTCGGTGGGAAGCCTGCTTCTCCCTCTCCCATTCCCCCTGCTTGTGTTCCCTCTCTCGCTGTGTCACTCTCTGTCAAATAAATAAAATCTTTAAAAAAAATCAGATAGGTAGATAGATAGTGTATGTATGTGGCTATTGGCTACAGTATTGGACAGTGCAGCTCTAGAGCATTGAGGCCTACTCCAGAGATGGTTTCACTGATGTATATAACAAGTTAGGTTTCAAAAATCATTCTTGGGATGCCTGAGTGGCTCAGTGGGTTAAGCGTCTGACTCTTGATCTCAGCTCAGGTCCTGATCTCAGAGTTGTGAAGTTAAGCCCCACGTTGGGCTCCACGCTGGGCATGGAACCTACTTAAAAAAAATTTAAAAAATAAAAAGCATTCTTATCTTTGACTCCCAACTCCATCTTGTACACCATTACTAAATACCTGTCCTTCTTCAGTCTTCTTTGTCTTTTGTAGCAAAAGCCTGTTGGCTCACTCAGAAGAGATAGGTTTTAGTTGTGGCTGTGTTTTTAACTAGCTGAATCCCTTGGGTAAATAACTTAGAACACAGAACTTTCTCACATGTAGAGATAATATTAACTGTTACGTCTTCTTCAAGAATTACGCAGATCATAAAAGATTTTAACACTTTCATCAGATTTGGGATGAACAGAGGAGATAATACCTCAATTAGTAAATTTGGAAAAATAGATTGAGACTTCGACGTAATACAGTGTATGATAATCATTGAATATTACTTAATCAGAGTCTACTTAGATGTCATCAGTGTGAATCGTTAGAACATAAGGGATTTTGTTTGTTTTAAAAAGTTGAGAGGCACCTCGGTGGCTCAGTTGAGCATCTGACTCTTGGCTTCGCCTCAGGTCATGATCTCAGGGTCGTCAGATCGAGGAGCACCACGTCAGGCTCCACACTCAGCGGGGAGTCTGCATAAGATTCCCCTTCCCTCTCCCCACCCCCCACTTGCATGTGTGCACACTCTTTCTATAAAATAAATAAATCAATCTTCAAAAACTAATGAGAAGTTGAGGGGGTGCCTGGCTGGCTCATGTCAGAAGAGGTCGTGACTCTTGATCTCAGGGTCATGAGTTTGAGCCCTACCTTGGATGTGGACATTGCTTAAATAAATAACCTTTAAAAATAATAATAAGTAAAATTAAATAAAAAGTTGAGTAAACCTGCTTTGGGAGTCTAGAGGATTTTCCCCAATCCCTGTAACTCTAAAATTATAAATTTCATCATCTTACTTAGCCCCACCTACCCCAAATCCTCATACACTGCAACTGGAGCAGCTCTCATTTTGTTCTCTGTATTTGCCACTTTTCAGTTGATTAAAGGGTTCAACTGCTTCAAGAAAAAACAAGTTAGAACACTCCCATGAAAAATAAGAATGCTTTTTAAAAAATGTAACATACTACTATTATAACAACCTAAAAATAATAACAGGGCTCCTGGGTGGCTCAGTCGGTTAAGCATCTGGCTTTGGCTCGGGTCATGATCCACACCCCACATTAAAAGAAACTTTAATTGTTTTTTTTTTTTTTTTAAGATTTTATTTATTTATTTATTTGAGAGAGAAAGAGAGAGCATACAAGTGGGGGCAGAGGGAGAGGGAGAAGCAGGCTCCCCACTGAGCAGGGAGCCCCATGTGAGACACTTGGGTGGCTCAGTCAGTTAAGCGTCTGCCTTCGGCTCAGGTCATGATCCTGGGGTCCTGGGATCGAGTCCCACATTGGGCTCCTTGCTGAGCGGGGAGTCTGCTTTTCCCTCTGCCTGTCGCTTCCCCCTGGTTGTGCTATCTCTCTCTCTCTCTCTCTTACAAATAAATAAATAAAACCTTAAAAAAAATAAAAATAAATAAAGTTTCTTTTAATATGATTGATATTCACCTACATTCCTCTAATAGGCTTATTGCTTTTGTACTTTCATTTCTCTACCTGGCAGTTGACAATGACACACCAGTTACTCTGGGGGTATATCTTACCAAGAAGGAACAGAAGAAACTTCGAAGGCAAACAAGGAGGGAAGCACAGAAGGAACTACAAGAGAAAGTCAGGCTCGGCCTGATGCCTCCTCCAGAACCCAAAGGTACATATCTTAGAGGCAGGGAAGAAAGGGTGGTATGTTTGTTTATCTCTGTAATTCTAGAGGAACTTTCACCTCTTCCTATATTTGTGTGCTTTCCGTTTCTCTGAATCATTCATTAATTCTTTTCTTCCTTTCCTAAATTTCTACAATCTTATTAAGACAGGTCAACATATTCACTGTAGAGGTCATTTAAGGCTTATTTTTAAGTATAAAAATATATACTATTGTGATCTTCCTGGAAAAATAATGGTCTTGAAATTCATGAAGATAGTAGCTGCAGTGTGTGCATGAAGTTGTTTTGTACATAATTATTAATATTTGAAAAATGAAAATACTGTTAAAAGAAACCTTCACTCCTGTAGTTCCCATTATCGTTCAGTAATATTTTGAGTGAGCACTGTTATATGTAGGACCTTTAACTAAATGCTGTGATCAGAGTGAAAAATACCAAAGAAATTAAGTTCCTTATCTTCCATAAATTTTCAAGCAGTGTAAGTAAATGTATACCAACTATTTAGATTGTGTGTCCTTCCACAAATGCTGGGCTTTTCAAGATAGAGGTTTCTGGAGGAAATGAGCTTTGAGCAGAGATTTGAAATAGGTAAACAGCATGAATTGAGAAGAGGTGACAGGTTATCCCAGCTGAAGAATTATTGTTTTCTATCCTCTCTCCACGTGCAGTGAGAATTTCAAATTTGATGCGAGTATTAGGAACAGAAGCTGTTCAAGACCCCACGAAGGTAGAAGCCCATGTCAGAGCTCAGATGGCAAAAAGACAGAAGTAAGTGCCATGGGATTGGGTGGAAACCCAGGGCAAGTACCTTTCCCAGACTCTTCTGGGGGGATCCATATTTGGAGGGAGGGGAGAGTCCTCTGTTGCTCTCTCTTTCCCTCAGCTTTGCCTCTGATCTTCAATGCCTTTCTCACTTGTGGATGTCCTTCCTGTCACGACAGAGCGCATGAAGAGGCCAACGCTGCCCGAAAACTTACAGCAGAACAGAGAAAGGTCAAGAAAATTAAAAAGCTTAAAGAAGACATTTCACAGGGGGTACACATATCTGTATATAGGTAGGTGTCCAATCTGGGCCAGCCTTTGCCTTAGAAATACCAAAAATTTTCCAAGTGCTTGAGGCAGAATCACTGTGGTCTAAAGCACACCTAACATCAGTCCCTACTCTCTTCTGTGACCCCAGCATGAATCAGGAGCTAATAAATCTTTTATAATGAGGGAGGTTTAAAGACTTACTCTTCTATCTCTGAGACTTTTCAATGAACCAGTACTAGTTCTGAAGAATGAATGAATGAATGAATATACTTGTTGAGACCAATCTGTGAACTAAGGATCATTCATCCTTTGTGAAATATAAAATAACCTATTTCTCCAGAAAGCATTAAAAGTTTCTTTATTCAGAAACTATATTCTTATTCTCACTTTTGCAGTAATCCTTTTATTTCCACTCCAAAGTACATTTTATACATTGTAAATATTCTCTACCTTCCTGTTGATATAATATTTTCATTTTATTTTATGTTGAGTGCATGTGTACCTTCCATTTTTTAAAATGTGCTCCTTTTCAATAACTAGCTCTTTATTATGAAAGTGATAAATTATTATAAAAGTAGTGAAAGCTTATTAAATTTTTTTTTAATCTAATACAACAGAAGGCCCTTACTGAAAAAGTCCCCTTCTTACTCTGATTCCTTAACACCATAGGTAATTGTGACTAAGAGTTTTTTGTGTACCCTTATGGAAATTTTCCATGCATAGCATTCTGACTACTTTACATTATAAGCATCTAGGAGACAAAGAATTTGTTGATCTTTATACTCAAGAACAATTAGCTTACACATATTTTTGGATGATGATAAATACCTCACCTTTCTTAGAGTAAATTTTCATTACCTGCTATTTGTTGTAGGGTGTACAATACTAGTCTTTGGAGTATAAGGCAGTGGAATTACTTCGAGACTCATTGATTCTACCTTTCAAGCATTAGCGTATTTGCTTACTTCAAAGGCCTTTGTTTTTAGAGAGAAAACCATTTTGGATCCATCTATTTATTTGCCATTCCATTCAGGCAGCTACTGATGCTAAAACAAAAGCCATAACTAAACTTTCCCTTCTCCAGAGTTCGAAATTTGAGCAACCCAGCCAAGAAGTTCAAGATTGAGGCCAATGCTGGGCAACTGTACCTGACAGGGGTGGTGGTACTGCACAAGGATGTCAACGTGGTAGTAGTGGAAGGGGGTGAGTCTGAAAAAACTGAGGGAGACCATCCCCACGCAACCCTAGGCCTTGAAGTGATTAGAATGGTGGGGAGAAAGGAGGCAAAGACAGGACTTTTAGAGCCATACCTGGGTTTAATATCCTGGGCCTCTGTTTCTGTGTTTATTAGAGTAGAAGGACCTAAGATATGGTTCCTGGGATTGCTTCAACTACTACATTAAGGTCTGAGTAACGAATGAGCTCAGAGGTTCTTTCTACTTCATCATATTCCAAAATTCTGGCAAAATTCTCCTTCTCTGTTTCCAGGCCCCAAGGCCCAGAAGAAATTTAAGCGTCTTATGCTGCATCGGATAAAGTGGGATGAACAGACATCTAACACAAAGGGAGATGGTGAATGGGGGTTAGAGGGAGTTTAGTGGGAGGTGGGGATGGTACTCTGTCCATTCATCTATTCCCTCCCAGTGACGCTTGCTCACACTAGATAATGTTTAGGAATTTTATTTTATTTTAAGATTTTATTTATTTGAGAGAGAGAATGAGATAGAGAGCATGAGAGGGGGGAGGGTCAGAGGGAGAAGCAGACTCCCTGCCGAGCAGGGAGCCCGATGCGGGACTCGATCCCGGGACTCCAGGATCATGACCTGAGCTGAAGGCAGTCGCTTAACCAACTGAGCCACCCAGGCGCCCAGTGTTTAGGAATTTTAGAAAGACCCATGTGGACTATGAACATGGTAGACATTCATACAGTATTTATTATGTGATAATATGTGTGAATGTTAGTTTTTCTTCTGCCTGACCTTTAAGGTCAGGTTTCCCTGACTTAAGTTTTCCCTGTCCGCCTGGTCACTGGTTGTGGGAGTGTATTGAGTTTGTGAAAATTCAGCTATAAATACTTTTTTTTTTTAAGATTTTATTTATTTATTTGACAGAAACAGAGTATAAGCAAGGGGAGCGGCAGGCAGAGGGAGAGACAGCAGCAGGCTCCCCGCTGAGTAGGGAGCCCGATGTGGGACTTGATCCCAGGACCCTGGGAACATGACCTGAGCTGAAGGCAGACGTTTAACCGACTGAGCCACCCAGGCGCCCCTTAGGACAAGTTTTTATTGTTGATTGCTTGTCTTTTATTTATCTCCTTATTCCCAGTACCTGGGGCAGCTCTTGATATATGTAGGTGCTCAGTAAATGTTGAATTAATTAATATCTCTACCTGTTCGGAGCTTTCAGTCTAATTTGGGGGAAATAAAAATAAGAGAAGACATTTGACCCTGATACACGGCAAACGGGGGACAATATTTAAAAGAATTGAGATAGACTTTTGAAAACTCTTTGTTTAGAACCTAAATCTTGGTCTCTAGTCTAAGACTAGAGCAAGATTTAGCTATATTGTCTTTTCCAGATGATGAGGAATCTGATGAGGAAGCTGTGAAGAAAACCAATAAATGTGTACTAGTCTGGGAGGTAGGTAATCTTCTGTTAAACATTGAAGCAGAACTTTAGCTAATTCCTGGTTGTTTATACCATTCTAATGGAGCAGTAGAATGGTAAAACTAAGCAATGGCTGATTCCTTAAGTAATTCATTTTTCTTTTTGGAATTCATTGGTAAACATTTGGCCGCAGATTCTTCCTGATTATATTTTAGTTAAATTGATGAGTATATAGAATATGCCACCTGGGGGAGAGTATGGAAAACTGGTGGCAAGAATACAAATTTTCGACCAAGTCGTTTATTTCACAGTCATGGATATGAGATTTGGAAAAAGGGAAATGAACCATTGTGGGATTTTTTTGGTCTGGATATAATGAAAGAAGTACTAGACTTTAGAATATAAAGTTGGGAGTCTGGGCAGTACCACTCATTAGCTGTTCAACTGGTCAAGACACTTAACATCAATTACTGTTGGTTTATCTACAAAATGTGGGTATTATTTTCCCTTTCTATTAATTCTTTTCTGAGCAGAATTAGATTACTGTGTAATAGTGCTCTGTAAAATGGAGCTTGTTTGTGGTTATACAGTTCCCTCATCCCTGAAATCTTAGCAAACCAGTATTCGTTCTGAAGAATGAATTAATGAATATGCTTATTCAGGCCAAGGTGTGAATTAAGGATTGTTCATTGTTTGTGAAGCATAAAATAGCATCCTATTTTTCAGGAAGCATTAAGAGTTTCTTTCTTAAATAATTATATCCTTATCCTGATGTGTTGCAGTAATCCTTTTATTCCCACTCCAAAATACATTTTTTACATTGTAAATATTTTCTACCTTTGTATTGATTGAATGTTTTCATTTTATTCTTTTATGTTGAATACATATATCTTTATTTTTTAAATGTACTTATGTTTAGTAACGTTCTTTATTACAAAATTATTTCAAAAGTGGTAAATGCTTATTAAAATAAATTCTAGTAACACAGAAGAACATTTACTGAAATGGTCCCCTTCTAATTCTCTAATTCTTTAAGACCACTTTTTATAGGCAGTTAATGTTCTTCATGTATCCTTTTTTCTTATCCCAGACTCCTCCAATTTATGCATACAAATTAGATCATAATAACCATTATACACCACCTGCATATTTAAGATCCTAACCCCTTCATCTCTTCCAATTTCTCTTCTATTTATCTCTGAGAGTCCACAGGAATTGTATTTCAGGTTCAGAAACAAGCCAAGTTCTACTCTAGCTTCTTATTGGAATTTGATCCCTGAGAATCTCTTGAGATAGCACTTTATGACTGCCATTGCTGCTGGTGCCTTTGGCAGGATTGTGGTTACACCCAGTACTGTATGTTTTTCTATTGTAGTTCTCTTCGGGTACCCCCCTCACTGCTCCCACTCCCCTCTTTTCCTCACCTTCATACTGTTCTTGGTCAGTGGGCCCCAAAGCCTCCTACTTGTATACAGGGTCTCACTGAGGGGGAAAGACTCTCTCCTTTAAGGCCTAAATCTAGTCCTTAGAGGCCTGGTGGGTAAGTAGTTCATCCCATCTCACGCTCCATAGCCCTTCCAGACTTGCTCTTTCATCCAGGTATCAGAGTACAGAATTCCTCATCCTCCATTCAGTCAAAATACTGAAACCTTTATGCCTCTAAATTCATCAAGACTCACACAAATACCCAAGAGGGTGGAGGTTAGAATAGCTTTTACCATAAAACCATGCTCAGCTAGGCACATTGCTACACAAATGTTACTAGGTTTTAAAGATTCATTTATTAAAGGGGCACCTGGATGGTTAGATGGTTAAGTGTCTGCCTTTGGCTCAGGTCATGATCATGGTCCTGGGATCGAGCCTCGCGTGGGGATCCCTGCTCAGCAGAAAGTCTGCTTCTCTCTCTCTCCCTCTGCCCCTCCACCCCACTTGTGCACACACAACGGCCCTGCCTCTCTCTCTCAAATAACATCTTTAAAAATAAATATTTATTTACTTATTTATTTGAGAGAGAGAGAATGTGTGTGCATATGCACATGGGGAGGGGGAGAGGGAGAGAATCTCAAGCAGACTTCCTGCTGAGTCCCAGAGCCTGACTCAGGGCTTGATCTCACAACCCTGAGATCATGACCTGAGCCGAAATCAAGGGTCGGATACTTAATTGATGGAGCCACCCAGGCGCCCTGAAAATGTTATTAGGTTTTAGAAAAGAATGTTCTGATTTAAATTAGAAATTGCAGTGTTTTGGGGCACCTGGCTGGCTCAGTTGGTGGAGCCTACAACTCTTGATCTTGGGGTTGTAGGTTGGAGCCCCACACTGGGTGTAGAGATTACTTTAAAAAATAAAATCTTTAAAAAAAATTGCGGTGTTCTTATTACAGATTTTGTCTCTTTCCCAGGGTACAGCCAAAGACCGGAGCTTTGGGGAGATGAAGTTCAAACAGTGCCCTACAGAGAACATGGCTCGAGAGCACTTCAAAAAGCATGGGGCTGAACACTACTGGGACCTTGCACTGAGTGAATCTGTGTTGGAGTCCACCGACTGAAACTACTGCAAGCCCTTGCCTCTCCCCTCCTGCCCTTGTCTCTTCAGTCCGCTCATTCTACTTCCCAACCCAGTCCCACATGTGTGTGTGATCTCAGAACTGTGCCAAGCTGACATTGGGACAAAGGGAAAACACCTTAGTCCTTTCCCCAGTCAGTCTGGCGCTGCCCTTTATTCCCCTTATGTGCATATGATTAAAGAGTTATTTTTAAAGTTGGTATGATATTTTTCACACACTTACAGGTATTGGAGTTTGGGTCTTCAGGTGATCTTTTCTCCCAACTTCTAGCAATTGCTGTGGAAAAAGAAAATTTTGTCATTGATACCTGTGTATATATAAATGGATGGATGGATGGATGAATGGATGGATATGTATTTTTGATGTCTGTTGGAAATTTCTCATCTTGGAGCAAGAGTGATAAATACTGTTTTCCTGGAGCGGAGTAAAGCAGGAGGTGTTAAGTGGGTAAAAGAGGGTGGAACAAATGAGTGTCCATCTGTTAACCTTCAACAGAGTCACAGGGCAGATTACCTCTGGTCTTGACTGTAGTCTTAACAGGAAGTCATTGCTTCAAACAGGTGCATATATGAGAATGTGTGTTGTGGGTGAAGTGGGCACAGGGAGAGTCCAAGGAGGATGTTATGGGTCAGTTTGTAAAATGGAACAGGATTCAGGAATTTAGCCTATTTCCTCTCTTTACTAATTAAAAAAAAAAAACAAAAACCTTTTTCTAAAAGACAATGCGTAGTTTCTTTTTTCTTTTCCAATGAATCTGACTAGATGTGGTTCTGTTAAAGAATGTAATGTTTCTGGTTTGATTTTAGGAGTATTTAGGTCAGCATAAGTATCCATTGAAGTCCAAAATTCTTACCATATCTACACTTCCATTTCATGTTGCCTGTTGAGGACATACTGGGAATGGATCGAACACAGGAGCCATTAGAGCTCCCATAACTTCCTCTAGTTGGAGTTTACCAGGAAGTGGTGTTGGAAAATGGATACTTGATCAGAAGTTAAAACATTCTTTATTATAAAATTAGCCCTTTTTAAAAAAGTTTTATGTGTTTCAGGTCCTAGTTAGAGTTCCAATTTTAAAACAGTATGAGAGAGCTTTAGGATAAAAGAGGTGGAAGGAGACAGGGACTGCTAAAGGCCTTAAGGAAAAACTAGTATGATCTCTTTTTAGAGATAAGTAAAACTATAACCCAGACAGGTGAGGTTAACTAATTATTCCTGGAGCAGGATGAAATCTGAAAAGCTCACCAGGCCTCAGCAATGCACTGGGTACTTGCTAGTAATCATCTCTGTATCTGTGAGATGGGAGCCAGAGAATTAAACTTGTTTTTGATATTTCTTGATTTAAGCAAATCCAGGGGAAAAATTCATTGTCCTAGAAATAAGTGCTTTTGCTCATATTAAAGGATTTATCACAATAACGTGTGTAAATAATTTATATACAACTTCAAAAGAGTATTGTTTGCATAAGGCCTAAAAAGAAGTATTTATACTATAATACACAATTGTTCATTGTAAAGTATAGTGAGACTTAACCGGGCCTTGAGCAAGTCTTTAATCTCCCTGTGCCTCACAGTGTTTTTTGTTGTCTTTAAATTTTCATGACCCCATACTGTATTGACCATTGTGTTCCATAAGCATTTCCTCCTTTATCAGAACAAATTTGAGAAGTAGATTTTAGAGATGAAGAATTTGAGGCTTAGAGTAAGTAATTTGCCCCAAGGTTATAGCTAGTAAGTAATGGAGCTTAGTTTCTTTCTTTCTTTTTTTTTTTTTAAGATTCCATTTATCCATTTGACAGAGACAGCGAGAGAGGGAACACAAGCAGGGGGAGAGGGAGAAGCAGGCCTCCCGCGGAGCAGGGAGCCCGATGCAGGGCTCGATCCCAGGACCCCGGGATCATGACCTGAGCTGAAGGCAGACGCCCAACAACTGAGCCACCCAGGCGCCCCTGGAGCTTAGTTTCAATCCAGGTTTGTTTGACTAGAGCCCAAACTCTTAACCCCTACATATGCTGCTTCAGTTGTGAAATAAGGTGGTAGGGACAGCTGTGTTCTTTCAAATGAATGTTATTCCCAGAGTAGTTCCTATCTTGGGTTGCTGTTCTCACTTAAAATGCATTGTGAACTTCAGCAATTCCTTTCATAATGTTTGAAAATATGTATATTATGTCAGATATGTTAATATCAGTTATTTGTCCTGAAGAGTTCTGGTAAGAATTTTAAAAGTCATTTGGAATTTATGATAGAGAATTAAGTGAGTTATCAAGGTAGAAAATAGCTTTCTTGGTTTAAAAGTGAATATAAAGTAACTGGACTATTTTCTCCTCCCTGTATGTAGCTTACCTTGAGGAATTTCCAGAATTATCTTGAAAATGTCAATATCTTCGGAATATAGGTACCCAAGAATTAGTTTTGGATAAGACAATTCAGTGGCAATACTGGAACATTTTACAGTTTTCAAGGTTCTTTCACATGTTATTCAGTGCAATATTCCTGGAGGTAAGACAATACAAATAATTTCACTCAGGGCAGAAAATGTTATTACACAAAAGAGGCAATTTAAGATAGCTCTTGAAAGATGGGTAGAATTTTGATAACAGAAGAGGATGTTTTAGGCAGAAAGAACAGAATTAATTACAAATAGAAAATTACAGGATATATTTAAGGAAAGGAACAGTTTGGAGCCCAAGGAACCATGGAGGGGAGGCATTTGAGATTATACTGGGAAGTTAGATTAGAACAATTGTGGAGAGTCTTAAAAGCCAGGGCTTTTACTTAACAGGTAACAAGGAACACTTTATTTATTTATTTATTTATTTATTTATTTATTTATTTATTTATTATTTATATTTATTTATTTGACAGAGCACAAGTAGGGAAAGCAGCAGGCAGATGGGGAGGGAGAAACAGGCTCCCCACTGACCAGGGAGCCCGACTTAGGGCTCCATCCCAGGACCCTGGCATCATGACCTGAGCCAAAAAGGCACCCGGAGGAACAATTTTTTATTTGTTTTGATTGGAGGGGAATTAAGATGTTCATCTGGTAATGGTGTATAAGTTGAAGAGATAGACTGAGAAGCTGATGGTGATGCTGCTGCTATCATAGTTTATTAGGATGGTAATGATAACCATTAGCAGGTAGAGGGCAAAGGGAAACGAAAAGGAATTCATGCAAGAGATTTCTAGGTAAAAGTCTATAGGATTTGATAACTAGATGGAAGAGGTGGAAACAAAGATAACTAGAATATCCAACTTGAATATGTCTGAATGCAGGTGATAAAATTTAATCTTTAGGAGAGGATAAGGAGAAAGATCACAAAAGGGCTAAAAATGGAGCTGGCAAATAGGGTGAGAAGCCATTAATTTAGTACAGTCTGATTAAGGATTGTACATTTAACAGAAGCAAAAGGAAATAAGTTTTAAGAAAAGTTTAAGTGTAAAAATAGCTGACATCATCATTAAACCTTTTCTGACTCAGGCACTCCTCTAAGCACTACATTCATTAACTCATTTAAAAATTGTAGCACCATGGAGGTTAAGAAATTTACCTAAAATTGCTGCTGGTAAGTGGCATAGCCTGAATTTCAGCAGTCTGGTTCTAGAGGTCTTGCTCTTAGCCATTACACTATCTAACAGAAAAATGGAAGGTGAAGCCTGTAGATAATAAACTGGAATTGGCAGATTAGTAGTGCCTTTTAAGTGGGTGTCTCCTCAGCACCTACTACAGTGCCCACCTATTTCACTGAGAAAAGGAGCAGGTGAAGATAATTTCTGCACATTCTCACCAACAAATCTACCAATTTACCTGAATCTCTTACCTACATTTCCATTTAAAAAAAGGAACTATGGACCTATTCCTTGATCCTATCCTCTCCCATCTATTCAAGGAAATCAATCCAGCAATTGTCCCATCTCTATCCTATATCAATATTTAACCCCCAATTTTTCATTTGCATCAGCTACATTTCCCATCTTAGAAAGAGGACTGATTCCTCGATTTTACATTTCCCTCCAGCTTCCGTTCCATTTCTCTGCTCCCTTCCTTCCTTCCTACCTTCCTTCCTTCCTTTTTTTTTTCAGGTTTTTTTTTTTTTTTTAAGTAGACTCCATACCCAGTGTGGGGTTTGAATTCATAATCCTGAGATCAAGAGTCACACATTTACCAAATGAGTGAGCCAGGCTCCCCTCATTTTATTTCTTGGAAGAGTTGTCTATATATGATATCTCCACTTCTGTTCTCTCTAGAACCCTCTCCAATCACTTCACTTCCTGGAAACAGTCTTTGTCAAGACCACCAATGATCACCACGTTGCCAAATCCAGTGGTTATCTCAGTCCTCACCCAACCTACACAGCAACATCTGACAATTGATTGGTCCTTCCTTCTTGAAAAATTTTCATTACTTTTTTTTTTTTAAGATTTGATTTATTTGTCAGAGAGAGGGAGAGAGCTAGAGAGAGAGATCACAAGCATGGGGAGTGGCAGGCAGGGAGAAGCAGGCTCCCCACTGAGCAAGGAGCCTGATGCGGGACTCAATACCAGGATCCTGGGATCACTACCTGAGCCGAAGGCAGACGCTTAACTGACTGAGCCACCCAGGCATCCCTTCATTACTTCTTTCAGAATATTATTCTCTGGGTTCTTCCTTCAGTGGTCATCCCTTTTTAATCTCTTTTGTAACTTGCTCTTTATGTCTTAGTCCTTGGACCTCTTTTCTATCTACACCCACTCATTTCCTAGGGAACTTTATCCATTTCATGGCTTTACTCCTGATAATTCTTTTTTTTTTTAATACTGACAATTCTTTAAAGTTTTATTTATTTATTTATTTATTAAAGATTTTATTTATTTGACAGAGAGAGACACAGCGAGAGAGGGAACACAAGCAGGGGGAGTGGGAGAGGGAGAAGCAGGCTTCCCGCGGAGCAGAGAGCCCCATGTGGGGCTCGATCCCAGGACCCTGGGACCATGACCTGAGCCGAAGGCAGACGCTTAACGACTGAGCCACCCAGGCGCCCCTAAAGTTTTATTTTTTTAGTAATCTCTACACCCAACGTGGAGCTCGAACTCACAACCCTGAGATCAAGAGTTGCACACTCTTCCAGCCAGTCAGACACCCCTAAATACTGACTTTTTTTTTTAATGCAACATACAGACTTTAACAAAAGTAACAGACAAGGTCATACAAGCACTTATATTAAGAGAAAAACTGAGTAGAAGGAATTTTATCTTATTTTTTAATTTATTTTATTTTTTAAGATTTTTTTTTTTATTTGTTTGACAGAGAGAGGCACAGCGAGAGAGGGAACACAAGCAGGGGGAGTGGGAGAGGGAGAAGCAGGCTTCCCGCCGAGCAGGGAGCCCGATGCGGGGCTCGATCCCAGGACCCCGGGATCATGACCTGAGCCCAAGGCAGACGCTTAATGACTGAGCCACTCAGGCGCCCCTAATTTATTTTATTTTTTAATCAGAGAGAGCACAAGCAGGGGGAGTGGCAGGCAGAGGCAGAAGCAGGTTCCCCACTGAACAAGGAGCCCAATGAGGCACTCGATCCCAGGACCTTAGGATCATGATCTGAGCTGAAGGCAGCTGCATAACTGGCTGAGCCACCCAGGTGTCCTAGGAATTTTATCTTAAACACCTTATGGTAACCTACTTAGTGCATTTAACTGAGCTCTGTTGCTGTGAAGAATATAGCTCATGTACAGGTATGGATGAACGATTTGTACATTCACCTTATACATTATACATATACATTAAATTTGAAAAACATTTAATTGATGATCACCAGATATGCTTCATATTTGTTGATCTTTTGGAAGAGGTTATCTAAAGAGAAGAATATGTGGTTCTGGCTCATGAATCATGTAATGAACACAGCCTGGACGCTGCTGGACACCAAGTCTCCTCTACTCTTCTTTAGACATCAGATGGGTTTTTGGTACTTCTTTGGAAAGTTCTCTGGGTAACATGCTAGGTCACCATTTGTCACAGAAAAACACAATTCAGGAACAGCCAGATGAAGAGATGCACAGGGCCGGGGATGGGGAAGGGCACGAAACTTCCTTGCCCTCTCTGGGTGCCTCTCTCCAAATCTCCACAAGTTCACCAACCCGGAAGCTCCAATACTGACAATACTTTTTTTTTTTTAAGATTTATTTTTACTTATTTTTTTTTAAAGATTTTATTTATTTCTTAGAGAGAGAGAGAGAACACAAGTAGGCAGAGCAGCAGGCAGAGTGAGAGAGAGAAGCAGGCTCCCCGCAGAGGAAGGAGCTTGATGTAGGGCTCAATCCCAGGACCCTGGGATCATGACCTGAGCCGAAGGCAGCCACTTAACCGACTGAGCCACCCAGGCGCCCCTATTTTTACTTATTTGAGAAGAGAGAGTGAGAGCAAGCAGGGGGAGGGGTAGAGGGAGAGTGAGAGAATCTCAAACAGACTCCCGACGGAGCAAGGAGCCCAAAGTGGGGCTTGATCCCAGGACCCTGAGATCATGACCTGAGCCAAAATCAAGAGTCGGATGCTTAACCGACTGAGCCACCCCGGCACCGCCCAATACTGACAATTCTCTCTTTTTTTAAAATTTTATTTATTTATTTTATTTTATTTATTTATTTATTTATTTATTTATTTATTTATTTATTTATTTATTTATTTATTAAGATTTTATTTATTTGCGAGAGAGAGAATGAGAGACAGAGAGCATGAGAGGGAGGAGGGTCAGAGGGAGAAGCAGACTCCCTGCTGAGCAGGGAGCCTGATGTGGGACTCGATCCCGGGACTCCAGGATCATGACCTGAGCCGAAGGCAGTCGCCTAACCAACTGAGCCACCCAGGCGCCCCTCTTTTTTTTTTTTTAAAGATTTTATTTATTTGACACAGAGAGAGACACAGCGAGAGAGGAAACTAAAGCTGGGGGAGTGGGAGAGGGAGAAGCAGGCTCCCCGCAGAGCAGGGACCCCGATGCGGGGCTCAATCTCAGGACTCTGGGATCATGACCTGAGCCAAAGGCAGATGCTTAACGACTGAGCCACCCAGGTGCCCCAATACTGACAATTCTTTTTTTTTTTTTTTAAAGATTTTATTTATTTGACAGGGAGAGACAGCCAGAGAGAGAACACAAGCAGGGTAAGTTGGAGAGAGAGAAGCAGGCTTCCCGCCGAGCAGGGAGCCCGATGCGGGGCTCGATCCCAGGACCCTGGGATCATGACCTGAGCCGAAGGCAGACGCTTAACGACTGAGCCACCCAGGCGCCCCAATACTGACAATTCTTAATATGATGTTTCCTACCTAAATCTTTCTCATGAACTTCAGACTCCTATACCTAGTGCCATTTATATATCTGATATCTCAAACTCAAGCTGTCCATGACTGAAATCCTGACTCCTATTCATTTCTCACAGGACTGCTCCTCCATCTTCCTTCCCCTGGTCCATCTGAGAAAACTTCTATTTCATGGGTTTTCTTTTTTTTTTTTTTAAGATTTTATTTATTTATTTGAGAGAGAGAGTGAGCACAAGAGGGGGGAGCGGGAGAGGGAGAAGCAGACTCCCCGCTGAGCAAGGAGCCCAATGTGGGACTCGATCCTGGGACTCCAGGATCATGACCTGAGCTGAAGGCAGTCACCCAACCAGCTGAGCCACCCAGGCGCCCTATTTCATGAATTTTCAATGGGAGCAATGTCACCCCACAAAAGGGAAAAATTTGGCTCTTGTGTGATGAAGTCTTAGATATTACGGTGGCTTGTAACTCTCCAAAACTCAAATATACCCAACACAATATTTTTTTTTCTTCAAAGATTTTATTTACTTTAGAGAGAGAAAGAGCCTGTGCACGGAGGGCGGGATGGGCAGAGAAAGAGGGAGAGGGACAAGCAGACTCTGTGCTGAGCCTGGGGCCATGTTAGGGCTAGATCCCAGGACCCTGAGATCATGACCTGAGCTGAAGGCAGACACTTAACTAACTAAGCTACCCAGGCACCCCCCACAATCTTATTCCTTATTTAATTTCTCTATTTTTTTGGATATGACACAAGCAACAATGACATTGAGTTCATGGAAGATATACAAAATGTATGCAAAGTCAATGCTAACAAAACTTTGAGGCTGTGACTGTAGAACTTTCCCTTAATTTTGAAGTTCTGAACACAGGAAGTGGGTCTATACCTGATTTTTTGGCTGTCATGTAGTGCCTTGTGAATATCACTTTTTTTTTAATTTTTTTAAAATTATTTATTTATTTATTTATTTATTTGACAGAGAGCGAGATAGCGAGAGCAGGAACACAAGCAGGGGGAGTGGGAGAGGGAGAAGCAGGCTTCCTGCCAAGCAAGGAGCCCGATGTGGGACTCGATCCCAGAACCCTGGGATCATGACCTGAGCCGAAGGCAGACGCTTAACAACTGAGCCACCCAGGTGCCCCGTGAATATCACTTTTGATTCTGAGTGCTTTTGCATATGACTTGGGCTTTGAGGAGTAAATAAAAATAATTCGTATTTTATTTGATTCTCCTTTTGTCATTCAGTTCATCATTAACTCTGTCAAATGCTGAGAAGGAAAAAATGTCAACAATATCTGAATGACTAGCTAGTAATTTTCTCATGTCAAATAAAAATTTAAAATTCATTAAAAATTTTGAAGAAAATTTTTTCCATTGCTTTGCTGGGAATATAAACAAATTTGAATGATTTATTATTTTTTTTAAAAGATTTTATCCATTTATTCGGCAGAGAGAGAGAGCACAAGCAGGGGGAGCAATAAGCAGAGGGAGAGGGAGAAGCAGGCTCCCCACTGAGCAAGGAGCCTGACAAGGAGCCTGATCCCAGAACCCCGGGACCATGATGAACTGAAAGCAGACACCCAACCGACTGAGCCACCCAGGCGCCTCACAATTTTGAATGATTTAATAAATGAATACATTGTGGGGTGCCTGGGTGGCTCAGTCATCAGGTGTCTGCCTTCGGCTCAGGTCAGGATCCCAAGGTCCTGGGATCAAGTCCTGCATCAGGCTCCCCACTCCGCGGAGAGCCTGCTTCTCCCTCTCCCACTCCCCCTGCTTGTGTTTCCTCTCTCATTGTGTCTCTCTCTGTCAGATAAATAAATAAATAAATAAATCTTAAAAAAAAAGATTACATTGTTATTACGTATTTGTGTAAACCACTAATTTGCATATGTAATGGCCATAAATTACAATTTATATGAATAAATAAATTATTTCATTAAAGTTTACTCAGCAAATGCAGTTATAAAGATTTTAAATATTAATAGCTTTAATATTAATAGCTTTAAATTTTTTAATTTTTAACTTAAAGATATTAGTCCTTTTTAAAAAATATTTATTTATTCATTTTTTAAAAGATTTTATTTATTTATTTGACAGAGATAGAGAGCACAAGTAGGCAGAGAGGCAGGCAGAGGGAGAGGGAGAAGCAGGCTCCCTGCTGAGCAAGGAGCCCCATGTGGGGCTTGATCCCAGGACCCTGGGATCATGACCTGAGCCGAAGGCAGCCGCTTAACCAACTGAGCTACCCAGGTGCCCCTATTTATTCATTTAAGTAATCTCTACACCCAACATGTGATTCAAACCCATGACTCCAAGATTAAGAGTTGCATGCTCTTCCGACTGAGCCAGGCAGGCACCCCAAAGATTTTAGTACTTCTTAACTCTGCATTGAATAAAAGCACATAAACAGATATACATATGTATCTGTGGCATTCAAATTACGAATGCCTTCGGCTCAGGTCATGATCTCAGGGTCCTGGGATCGAGCCCCGCATCGGGCTCTCTGCTCAGTGGGGAGCCTGCTTCTCCCTCTCCCACTCCCCCTGCTTGTGTTCCCTTTCTTGCTGTGTCTCTCTCTGTCAAATAAATAAAATCTTAAAAAAAAAAAAAATTCAATGTGAGCTGGGTGATTAGGAAAAAATATTTAAAAAGGATCTTTGGTGGCAACAATAATTTAAAAAGACCGAGAAACACTGTTCTAGTTGCTCAGGTCACAAAACCTGGTGTTATACTTGCCTCATTTGTTTTTCTCATACTCACCTTAACTCCATGAGCAATTCTTTTGACTCCACCTTCAAAATATATCCAGGATCTGACACCACTTCTCATTATATTTTTGGTACCACTCTTGTACAAGCCATCATTTACTTGTCTGGATTATTCCAATAGCCTCCTCGACTGGTGGCTCTTAAGTCTGTTTTCAACATAGCAACCAGTTAAAAAGTTACATGGGATGTAACTTCTCTACTTAAAACTCGTCTGCTTAATGAGGATCCCCATCTCAAAGTTAAAAGCCAAAATCCTTACAGTTGCCTTCAAGGTCTTACATGAACTCTCTCCCTTCACCTCAGACCTCATGTTCTGCTACTTGTACCCTCTCTTACTCTTCTCCAGTCACGCCGGCCTCCTTTTTCTTCCTCGAATATGTCAAGACATAGTTTCAGGTCCTTTGCACTTGGCTGTTCCTTCTGCCAGCATGTTCTTCTCCCCCTTCCCCATACCTGCTTGGTTACCTTATTCTCAGCGTTCAGATAAGTGTCACTTCCTTCCAGAAGCCTTCCTGGATCACCAAACCATTTCCCTTCCCATATAGGATCTTATACACAATATCCTCTCTCTTCCTTAAACTGCTTCATACTTCTTCATAGAACTTATTACTCCCTGACCATATTTGTTTTGGTCTCCCGCTACTAAGCCCCACAGGTAGGAGATTTTTGTTTGTTTTGCTGTTATACTTCCCAGTATCTAGAACTATACTTGGCACAAAACGTTCAACAACTTTTTGTTGAATGAATGAATGAGTGAATGAATGAATGAATGAATGAATGAATACTAGAGATGAGCTTGGCAAAACAGGTTCCTTGCCTCAAGAAACAATGAGTCCACTGGGGAGAGGTAAAAGACTTAAAATACAGTAATTGCATGTGCTCAGTGGAACACAGGAGCCTACAAATCTGCCCAGAGGATTTTCATAGGCAGATACGATGGAATGGTTAATCTAGGTTGTGCTAATCAATATAATAGACAGCTAGGGCTCTTTAAACTATAATGTATTATGCAATTGTAAGACTGTTATAACCGGCAAAAGTGAGATCACATCTTCCCTTTTATTCTTTCCTCGTCTCGAAATTTCTACTAGGAAATTTTTCGTTTCACTTCATTTACTTCCTCTTCCTATAATCCAAATAGCCTACTGGCTGTGAATGGTATCGTCCAAGGGAAGTGTAAAATATTGTTTGATCTGGGAGTCTGCGTAGTGAATGGCTCGCTGGAGCTGGCGCATGCGCATCTTTTGAGGCACTGCAAGATGGCTGCCAGCCACTTTGTCGCGCGTCGGTGCCCCGAGGAGCTAGCGGCGGCGGCGGCAGCTGCCAGAGAGTAACAGTGACCTCTGAGCGGTGGGAATCACCCGGCCTGTTGTGTGAGCTGGACAGACCCAAGAGGGAGACCTCGCTAGGAAGTAAAGGGCGGGGCGGAGCGGTGAAGCCCCTCCCCCAACCTCTTCTTAGTTTGACCAACTCCCTCACCCTCCCTCCTGGTTTTTCCTTCTAGCCCGCTACACGCTGATCTGCTGCGCAAGCGCACAAATAATCGTAGCGCCTCCTTGGCCCTTGGGGCTTGCGGGCTTCTGCGCGCGCTTCTCGTTCTAGTCCTTTGATTGGTCAGACTGCCCCGCCATCACGCCTCCCTCTGCTTTCTAGGTTGAGAAGGAAGCGGGGAGGCGGGGCGAAGCCGCGCGTGCGCGATACTGTTGCTGTCCTTTTGCTGCTATTGCGTTGCAAAAAAAATCCTCACTAGGTAGCCTTGGGCCTTTTCTGTGCTAGAGGAGCTAAAGGAGAAAGATTCCTGCAACTGAAGGGGCAATCGGGTAGTATTAAATTTAAGATATTAACGCCCACTCTTTACAGGAGCGTGGCGATAGGAGTGGGGAAGAGCCTTAGCTTTGAGAGCTGAAGAGTGTAAAACCATTAGTTTCGGGGCCAGGCGTTTTGAAAGGCTTTGCAGGATCTGTTTTCTGCGCATTTCTTCCGTGATTATTGACTGGTTTAAACACAACCCCTTGAACAATTCTGATAAACCTTCGATACCCGCAGCCCTTCCTTACAGCGTGTAGGAGCCACCAGTGTGCCCAGCAGCTGGTCCTCCCGTCCTACCTCTAGAAGAGCCTAGCGCGTGCACCATCCCCACCCCCTAGCCTCCCTCCCCACCTACGGCTTCCACGCACTCGCAGTGATTGTTTTGCCCGCTCCCGCTCCCGCCGCCGCCGCCGCCGCCGCCGCCGCCGCCGCCAGAGGAGCAGCAGCGCTTGTGCAAACCGGGAAGATGGCGGCCGGCGGCGGCGGAGGCAGCAGTAAGGCCTCCTCCTCGTCGGCCTCTTCGGCAGGGGCTCTGGAGTCCTCGTTGGATCGAAAATTCCAGTCGGTAACTAACACCATGGAATCTATTCAAGGCTTGTCGTCTTGGTGTATAGAGAACAAGAAACACCACACTACTATCGTCTACCATTGGATGAAGTGGCTCCGGAGATGTGAGTGTCGGGGGTGACTAGGGAAGGGAAGACTGGGGAAATGGAAGGAAATCCTTCCCGAAGCGCCTGGGTTTTTCCCACGGAGCCACTGCATTCGGTTGGCGTTGTTCACATTAAAGCTTTGACGCGAGTGTTCCCAAACCCAGACTCCATTCCTAGCCACAGTTGTCCTGAACTGCAGGAGGCTCATCATTTCTTGGATTTTTTGTTAGCTACTTACTGACTTGGTGTGTGTGTGTATGTGTGACCTTGGGCCGTTGGGCCCAGATCATTAGAGATTGAGGTGTTGTTTCAGAGCCTTGTAAGGTGCTGTTGTCTTTACTGAACCTTCGCGGAAATTATCGCGTCCGTTTATTTCTTATAGGCCTTGACGTGCTAATGATTTCTGGTTTTCTTGATGATAGACAAGCTATGGTTTAAGCAGTAGCAAATCCACTTCGTTGGAATATGTTGGACCACTCTGTTTTACGCTGAACTAAAACTCGTGATGTGTTATAAGAAGGGCCTTAACTTGGGTGAATGTTACGAAGTAACAGGAGCTCCACGTAGAGCTGAGGCGACCACCTGGGAGGTTTCCCTGTACCTGTGTTTGCTGCAATAAAATGCGGGCTTCTTGCTACTGACCGGAAATAACTGCAGTCAGTATCATCATTCATACCTTAAAATGTAAAACATGTCCAGCTACTTTTCAGTCACTTGAAATACCTTTTTAAAGAAATAAGTTTGGCTTCATTGGTAATCAAAACAGGAAATCGGGAAATGGGCTTTTTGAATATATAGTACTTCCTTTCCCCAGTTACTGCTTTTTTGTCTCTATCGGGGATTTTTTTCCACTTTGCTTCTTTACTGCAGAAAAGAGGTATATTAAACTGTCAGGAAGCATGGATTGTCTCCAAAACATTTCAAATATTTTAGGAGTAAGTGTGGAGAAGTCATTGTTGCTTCCTGCTGAGAAGAGAGGGTTAACCCGTTGCTTCTTGTCTATGGCATGTCACCAGTAAGACCCATCATCCAGTTACTCTTATTCCACTTCTGCCATTGCCCCTATAGTGTTTTGATTTGTGTTTACCTTTGAGGGAACAGATGGATAAAACTTACAAAATCATAGGCCCCAATCTTCAGACTATTTGTCTATATAAAGTTATTGTTGGTAGAGATGTTTTGTGGCACTTTGAGTAATACATACGGAAAAGACTGTAGAGCCAAGACAAGATTACCTGTATTTACCAATAGATCAAAGTTACTTTCTTTCCAAGAAGTAAAATTAGAACATACAATATAAACTATGATAACAGTCATCATCAAAGACTCACATACTAAGTATCTGCTATGTGCCCAACCCTTTATTGCCATTTACAATATATGTCTCACTGTACCTTAAAATAACCCTAAGAAGTAGATTTTTTTTTTTTTTAAAGATTTTATTTATTTATTGGACAGAGAGAGACACAGCGAGAGAGGGAACACAAGCAGGGGGCGTGGGAGGGGGAGAAACAGGCTTTCCGCGGAGCAGGGAGCCCAATGCGGGGCTCGATCCCAGAACCCTGGGATCATGACCTGAGCCGAAGGCAGACGCTTAACCAGCTGAGCCACCCAGGCACCCCAGAAGTAGATTTTTTAAATAATTGATTTACAGGTGGGGAAACTAAGGCCCAGAAATGTTAAGTAAATTGCTTAAGATTACACAGAAAAAGGGGAGTTAGGATTTGACTCCACCATATCAGTTGCCAATGACCACATTTAACTTTGTGGCAATGTTTTCAAGATTAAAAGAAAAAAAAATCTTTAATGTACTTGGTACACCCACCAAGTGTACCAGTGGTACACCCTGGTAGCAAATGCTCATGTAAGTCTGAGAACATACTCTCTTTTCTTGTCTTAAAACATTTGTACAAAATTATACAAGCATTTAACATTTCCTACCTTTGAGCTCTGGTGCTTTAATTGTATGGTTACATCATTTGCAAGACTAAGTTGGTCCCCATCCCTGCCTTGTGGGATTTCAAGTGACAGAATTTTTTTTTCCCTAGTTAGCAATAATGAGATATACTGGAGCCAGAAGTTTTCTGCCTCTACAATTGTTGGTATTTTGCCCGAGCTTATTTCCCTTGTTGATATATCGAGTGAAAAAGTGATTGCTCTACTAAAATAATATTAATACATTGCTCTACTAAAATAACTTGAAATGCATTATATGTAGTTTATATAGTTAAATACTTTTGGTTTTCTAAAAACTTGATTCCTTTTTGCCTAGTGGAATGGAACTTTCTAAAATGGTTAAGGGTTATTTGTAGTCATTTTGTGTTTACTTTTAATGAACATCATCTATTTCAATGTAAATAAAGCCTTTTGAGAGAAATTTTCAGGAGAGTAATGAAGGGCACAGTGAAAATAGTTTATACATTAGGCCTCATTTAGTTCCATATTTCTTTACAGTTGGGATTATCTTAGTTTGAGTTCGGTTTCTAAGTCAGCTTTAGGCAAGTTTGTGAAATAGGTGTCTCTGGCATTACCAGCCTTTGTGTCTGTTTTCCTTATGTCACTTTTGCATCTCTTTTTTATTCTGGCATCCATTATTTAGTAATTTGTGTTTAGACCTCAGTGTGAGTTTAAGTGTGTTAGCTCATCCAAAGATATTTTCATTTGACCCTTTATTTCATAATGTAATGAGAGGCTTTTGTTCATTTTAAAGGAAATAATTTAGAGAAAGCAAGTAGGCTTTTGGAAGATATTCTCCATGGGTGGGTTCTAACTGATTTTATTCAGGCTTCTTTTAATTTGTCTTGAAACATTCATTGCCATCATTTTTAAAAGTGATCTTTTTATAGCATAAACAGGTGTCATTACTGTGTTTCAGAATCCTCCATTGATATCCCATTGCAACAGGTTAAGATCTAAACTTCTTTTGCTATGATCTACAAGTTCCTATACCATCTGCCTTGCCTGCTACCTCTCAGGCTTCTTCCAATTCCGTTTCCTTATCGTTTAGATTCAAGCTCATGTATTACCTCTTCAGAAAGGCCTTCCCTTATTTGACCTCATTCCAGGTGGTCACTTCAATTGCCTTCTGTCACTTCACATTATTTTCAGTATATGAAATTACATTGCTTGTTTGTCTACATGTTTATTGTATCTTCTCCCACCAGATGACAGAGCTAGGTCTTCTTTGCTGCTGTATTCTCAAGCAACTAGAATAGTGTTTGGCACAAAGTAAGCAGTCAGTAAATATTTGCCAACATAGTTTTGTGTATTAATCAAGAACTTAAATTGTTTTAATTTCTGTTTATCAGAAAGAAATGTTTATAATTAGTGAAAGAAATGATAGCTATGGTTGTCAGCAAGTTCAAGATATGGCTCTTTTTGTTGTGTTTGCAAGATATGGCTCTTTCTTGGGGCGCCTGGGTGGCTCAGTTGGTTAAGCAACTGCCTTCAGCTCAGGTCATGATCCTGGAGTCCCGGGATCGAGTCCCGCATCGGGCTCCCTGCTCAGCAGGGAGTCTGCTTCTCCCTCTGACCCTCCTCCCTCTCATGCTCTCTGTCTCTCATTCTCTCTCTCGCAAATAAATAAAATCTTAAAAAAAAAAAAAAAAGATATGGCTCTTTCTGGACTTGATGTTCAGTTAACCATATTTTCATTTCTTTTTTTTTTTTTTAAGATTTTATTTATTTATTTGACAGAGAGAGACACAGCGAGAGAGGGAATACAAGCAGGGGGAGTGGGAGAGGGAGAAGCAGGCTTCCCGCTGAGCAGGGAGCCCGATGCGGGGCTCGATCCCAGGACCTGGAACCATGACCTGAGCCGAAGGCAGACGCTTAACGACTGAGCCACCCAGGCGCCCCCATATTTTCATTTCTTTACTTCATTTGTCCCTCCCATTTTTAATGTAAAACGGAAATCAATGTGGAAAAGTAGAAAAATGCA